TAAAAACATGTGTATTTATTTTTCCTCAAAGTTTTCCTTTCCATTTACTGTATTTCACAGAGGCGTCGTTTTTGTTTACACAACCGTCACTATGTTTTGTGCATGAAAGTTGCACCAATTTGTTTTTGAGAAAAATAAAAGTATAATAACAGTATATTTGTGTTTCTGCACATATTTGTGTAGACTTGAACAATCTTTCTATGCAGAATCCTCTACAGTACTACATAATGCCTTAAAAGATGAGTGTGCTTTTGATTAAGCACCACTGTGTGTAGTTGGTTGTACAAAGTGTCTTGTACAAAGTGTGTACCATTTGGTGCAAAGGTTTGGTTTGGTAAGTGTTTGAGTGCAGTCATTCATTTTGCAAGATATATGAGGTGTTTTGCACTTTGGGTGGACAGGATGTTATACATTTATGTATATATATGTTTTAAATATTTGAATTTGTATTCCTCCGGATTGTGAGAAACAGCATTTGATCTCCCTGTCTGTATCTCACACACCAACCCACTCTCTTCAGTCTGCGTACAAATGACACGACTTTACACATTGGAAATGCGTGCAATAGATACGCGGAAGTCCGATTTTGCGTGCATATGATACGCTAACCATTCCCATTGAGATCTGAGGCCGAGTTTTGCGTGACTGAAGAGAGTGCGTTGCACACACAGAAGATTGACAATAAAGATGACTTTGACTTAGACATGTTTTTGCTGCCAAAGGAGGTTTTACCAGTTATTAAATCCAAGGGTTCACTTACCTTTCCACCAGTGCTTTGAATGTTTACTAAAGACATACACAATTATAAATGTTTGCTGTGTGCTATTAGTAAAAACGGATTGTATTTGTTGATTATTGTAGCCTACCTTAAGTGAACATCAGTCCATATTTTAGAACACATTTCTTCTTGCCACTGTATATATATTTTTGATGCATTTAATTAGACATTACACATTTCAATCCATTTCACAATTTCACAGTGAAGCGATGTGGACTGAAGTCTGGGCGCGGGTTTCCTTGTGCGTAGCTGAGCCTCTCATGTCTGACTTGGAGGGCACTGTGAGTTTTAAGCAGCTTACGATACTCAGCATTGATGTCGCAGTTCCTCCTCCCCAGATCAGTGTACTCCTGCTGCAGCTGGTACAGCGCCTTTCTGCTCTCATCCAGGGCAGTCTTCTGTTCGCTGAGCCTGAGATCAGAGTCGCTGGTGTGTCGTCCGTTTGTCTCTGCACGTTGTTGCTCCTGAATCATGGGGAAGATTTCCTGAGCTCTCTGCAGAACCCCAGCCAATCTGTGCTTCTCCTCCAGAGTTTCAATCTGCCTTGTCAATGCTTCCTTGAGCTCGACGCGATGCTTCTCACACCTGGTTTTTTCTTTTTCCAGAGCAGAGGAGATGTGATCGAGTCTCTGCTGCAGCTCAGAGTTTCTCGTCTTGTCCTGTTTCAAGGCTTCTTCCAGTTCTGCCTGGCTTTTCTGGGTCTCTGACTCCTTTGCTTTGAACTCATCTACCATGCACTGGAGCTTAGTGATGGTAAACTGGTTCTCAGAGATGGTATCATCTTTCCGTGACAGCATCTCTTCATTGCGCTTAGAGAGAGAGCGGTGTTCAGATCTCACCCTGTCATATTCTCTCTCCAAGACATGGAGTTTAGCCCTGATGTCTGTCTTCTCCATCCTCAATGTCTGCATGTCGTTCATCAGACGTTCTGTGGACATGGATGCTTCCCTCAGCTGGTTAGTGAGGTTTGTCAGTGGTCCAGCTACAGCATGCTTTTCTACAACCATCTTCTCAAAGCGCTTCTTCTCACTTTTGAGAGACGACCTGAGAAGTTTCTCGGCTGTCAGGCTCTTTGCCAAAGCCAGAGTCTTCTCAGACAGCTCTTTCTCTTGGCTCTGGATCTTTTTGTTGGCCATGGAGAAACGAGACTTCTCTTTCCTGATGGCCTCCTCCACTCTGCTGCAAGTTTCTCTTTCTGCCTGAAGCTGATTTTCTTCAAACTGCTGTTGATTTAGAGCAGCTTCCAGGTCACCTTGCAGCCTTTTGTTTTGAGAGGCGAGGTGTTGCTTCTCCTGAGTCAGACGGGCCACTTCTTGTGCCTCCTTCTTCTGCTCGGAGACAACAGCCTCGTAGTCCCTCTGCAGCGAGCAGCTTTTTGTACGCTCTTCTTTGAGGTCTGAAGCCCACTGGTTCACTTTCTCCTGCATTGAGGAAACAATGCTGACCTTGGCTTCATTGTCGCGTTGGAGACTCTGGAGATTTGAGCGCAGGGATTCAATGTCACTGTCTTTCGTCAGACTTTCCTCCTGCTGCTCATTGAGACGATCCTTGACTTCTTTTTCTTCCAGAGTCAGCTCTGAGATCTGTCTTTCGTGCTGCCTGGAGGATTCCTGCAGATCTCTCCGGAGCTTCTCAATCACCTTCTTGTCCTCCTCAAGCTCAGAGGTCATTTCAGAGATGGTGTCTTTCAGCTTCTCTTTGCTGCACTGCTTCTCTTTCTGTGACTTTCTGAAATCAGCCATTTGTGCCTTCAGGCATTCCCTTTCGACACGAAGGGAGTTCTTTTCAGCTTGCTTCTTCTCCAGAGCCTTTGCAAGAGCGTCTTTTTCTTTTCGCTCCCGCTTCAGGGCTTCTTTGTGTTGAGCTGAAGCTGTTTTCTCTTTCTTCCAAGCCTCCTCAAGAGCAGCTTTGGCTTTTCTCTCCTTCTCCAGGGCTTCATGAAGACCAGGTGATTTCTTAGATCTCTCAGGTCTCTCAGAGTCCTCTGTCTGTGAAACATAAAACAATTATAATTGTGTTGTCTATGTGCAGTATTTTTAGATGTTAAAGATGTCTACTTTTGAACAATATTTGAGGGAACTTTTATCTTACCTCATCGACAGAAGTGTAGCTGTAGTCTTTGCTCCTGCTAGAGTCAGAGAGCTGCTCCTTTACATATTTCTTAATGTCTTTCTCAGCCTCCTCTGCAAACTCCTGCACCTCGTCAATTTCCTCCTCTATCTCCTCCTCTATCTCCTCTTCTATCTCCTCTTCTGTCTCCTCTTTTATCACCTCAATGTCTTTAGAGGAATGATTTCCCGGGAGCCAAGAAGAGCCGAGGTACTGCATGGAGAAGACTGATTTACGTTTGTCCATTTTCTTATTGTGAAGAAATGGCTGCAAACTACTGATAATGTGGATTCAATGTAGCGGGGATAACACCTGGTTTGTTATAACTGTGTGTGCACTGCAGTGTGTGATCTAATGCCACCTGAGAGACCTGCAGTGTCTACTGACACATTCTACATTCCTGAGTTCCAATGGCTGAGTTCTCTGAAGTGCCTTCACAACTCCGTAGCATTCATCTATTTGCAATTCACAAATGTATGTCTTATTAAGCATTATTTAATTGTACATTTTGTTCTTGTTTATCTTATTCTTTTCAACATGTATAGACTTCTGCATTATGGTCACTTGCCACATTATGCTTATTGTATTTTATTTTGCATGTACACTTCACTTCTTCTGCATTACTTGCACATTTGTCTTGCAACATAACCTTGCACTATTGTATTACTACTCTGGTACTATTTTTATAGTCCATTTTTATTTTTGTATTTGTTCTATTGTTTTATGTCTTATATATTTATGTTGCATTGTTAGAGGTGCCTGGGTCTAAAGATGTCCATTGCCCTCACTACACTGTAGCTTCTGTGCATATGACAATAAAGCCTTTGAATCTTATTTAATGAATCTTTAAAGCCTTCTTCCGTCTCTAGTCATATACATTCTTATACATTCGTTGTAACATGCCAGACAAACAAACTATCTGGATTACATCAAAAAAGTTGGTGGGGAAATTATGTTTTGGATGATTTGACCCTTTAAGCATCTTCTAAGCAAAGTCCTCAAAGGCTTTCCCACAATGGAACTCCTGCATGGACTCGGTTTTGTATTGGAAGATTAAACATGATAATCAAAACGCCGTACAAATTGAAACATCAATGTTTCAGTATGTAGACAGGTTTTGAAAGATAAATAGGAAGCTGAATTCACACATTAAGACAACAAGACACATTTAAATCAGGAATTGAGAGAAATAGTGCTTTATTTTTTTTATTTTTAACCTTATAAGAATACTCTTATTCATTTTTTGTTGTTCATATATATTGGTTTAAAATAATGTCTACTTTTAAAGTAATTGGAGTTATTACTAAAATAAACAGACTCTCAAAATAAACTACCTGCAGCCATGGAAAGGCCACATCTCTTATTTTAAAGCAGTTGCACGCAATTACTCTGGGTGATTTCTGATCCAATAAGCATTATACCTACTAACAGAAGTGTAACAAAAGATAGTTTATTGATAAATATATTTTAATAAGATAAACATATCCATGTAAAAGATGTGGAGGCCTTACGATTGCCAGAGAACACTTTAATTAACATTCTCGGTTTTGCAGTTTTATTTTAATGTCACACTTTTTTTTACCTGTGGTTAGAATACCAACACTTATTTTCAGTCTGCATAGTGGGTTAAAATCTTTATATATACAGTCTATGGTTAAAATACAGTTGACACTGCTGTACAATACCAAACACGTTTTATTTCAAGACACTTCATTTCACCACTAGATGGCGTTATTGATCAATGTCACAAGGACAACACAGGAACACAACAATAAAAACGTGTAGATCTATTGTGATAAATTCATTCTGAAATAAAGACATAATTTAGAAGAGAACAGCTGGGCATGTGAGTGGATTGACTCCACATTATGCAAGAGTCAGCAAGAGTCTAGTGTTTACATAAATATAATTAATCAAAACTAAGCAGATTTATACCGTATCAGAATCTGAGCCAACTGACTGTTATGGCTGTTAAAATTAATACATTATAATTAGGAGTGTGGGTAGCTCTTGGTCTATAACTGGCTGTTATTACCAGTATCACTTGTAACAGTCTGGACGGTAATCACGCATGCGCAGTCGCTGCTTTACGAAGGCTGGGATGATAATTACATTTCTATGGGCAGAGCGCGAACACACCACCGGTCCTCCTTGCAGAGCGCCAGCCACTTAGGTATGTGTTTATCTGGTAACTAACATGAGGCGTTTAGTACAGAGATAGATTTTAAGACGGAAAGCCTCTGTACGTCGTGTTTCTTCACCGGAGAGCACTCCCCTTTTTCTGCCTGGCGTTTTGTTTGAGCGGAAAGCCTGCCGTGGAGCGGTTGTCACACAGGCCGCGGATCGGGTCTTGTTGCTGGGAGGAGACCATCCAGACTCGCCTCCCTGTTAGCATTATTAGCTGGCTACGATGCACCGCTGCTGCTGGTGTATTTTCTACACGGCAGGCCACTGTAAAGCGAGGCAGGACCTTGGATAACTGTTTATACCAACGGAACTGGAGGGTGACTTGGAGAAACACCACACCTTTCAAGGTAACGTCTTCCCCACTTGCTAACGTCACACACGGGGCCGACGCATGCAGCTCCTGTAACGTTAACGTTAACGTTACAGTACACACCAGCTAGCTAACGGTTAGCGAGCTACTTTACATCTGCATGCATGGTCGTGCAACTAATCTAATGTTAGGCAAATGTGTACCATGTCCGTAAGCGGCTCACCCCTCGTTGTTTAGGTTAACATATCACCAGGTACAAAGCTAAGGTTTTGATTATAGCTAATTTAGGTTATTAGCTATTCCCTAGCTTGTTCATCAGGCCAGCATTGGGACGTTAATGATAACATCAGTGATTTAAAGTAACTAAGTATATTTACTCATGTACTATACTTAAGTACAATTTTGAGGGACTTGTACTTTACTTGAGTATTCAAATGCTACTTTGTTCTCCTACCCTACTTCAATTAAGAGGTAAATTGTGTACTCTACTACTTACTGAACGACATTTATTTAATACTTTAGTTACTTTGCAGATTTCTGATTACTGTTATGAAATTCAATCAACACTGAAATAAGACTTGAGTTATACCTGGAGTAAATCCACAAGCTACCCTGCAGTATACAAAGGAATCAATATTAGCTCCACCTTTACCAGCTTTGATAAACACATGAATGCATCTAAAATAATAATCAAAGTGCATATAATTCCCAAATGGTCCAATCTCCATAATGAGAACGTTTACTTTTGGTACTTTAAGTATAATTTGATGCCAATACCTTTGTACTTGAGTAAAATGTTAAATTCAGGACTTTTACTTGTAACAGAGTATTCCTGCTCTCTGATACTTCTACTTTTACTTAAAAAGACCATCCGAGTACTTCTTCCATCTCTTGGTAACATAATGTTGAGTTGGTAAGTTGAGGATATTCTACAATATAACATGTTGTTATCTTGCGACATAAACTACCTTAGTGTCATTTTCGGTGTAATGTTAAGCAGGTGTTTGCACTGTTTTCTACAATATTGTGGTCCTTCATTTCAGTTCTATGGAGTCGTGTCCAGCAAAAACAAGTGACCAATGTAATATTGCGATGGTAATATCTAGGCAGTAAATCAGCCTGAAGGGAAAAGTGAAAGTACTCTGAGTTTGATATGGGCTCTGATTAGAAACATGAGTCTGCTAGACCTAGGCCACTGCAGATGGCCTGGTATACAGTAATAATAAGATTTTTTGGGCCAGATCACTTTTTAAACACATTTACAAGTGCTTCAGAGGAGAGCTGACTACAACATGAAAACAAAAATATGAACCAAATGAATTAAATCTGTTTTAAGAGACAGAGGACATCATTTATTTCACTGAGACACCAAACATCTCTCCATATTCTTCGGGGGCGTTTTTTTGTTGTTGTTGCAGGATTTGGGTAATATCAATAAGAGGCATAGGTTAGCTTCCTCAACTATCCGTAAGAGTTCTCTGTTTTCTTACTGTCAAAATGGGCTTCCTGCATGTCATTTTGGTTCAAGCAATAACATGATATTTTATTGAGAGAAAGACAAAAGTTACAGCCCAACATCAGATACCTTTTGCTATTCATAATGACCATAACGTTTAATATTTGAATACAGCACTGTTTTCAGTCACTGTTGGCTTTTTAATGTAGAGTCATTTAAGTACCACATAAAGCAAAGACACTGTCCTGACACTCATCAAGCATCGACTTAATGATTGTGATTATGCCAGCAAAGATGCCACTTTGGAGCTTCTCTAAACAACAATATGTGAGCCTGGTTGACTACTAAAGGGAGGGGTAACTACAGCACCCAAAACAGTACTTTACTTAATAATCTCCTTAAAGCAGATGGAGATTTTATTTGATTAATAATTGAATAATCACTCCAATAGAGCATCAAGCCACTCTCACAAGCCATGTCGATGACTTTACCACTTTGTCGATTATGGATGGAGCTAGTGTCTTCTACTCAGCACTGTGTTCAGTATAATGGAACATATTTATTTTTTCAGGATGGATGTTGATTTATGTGCTGGCGGGGACAGCACCAGAAGAAAAGTGGACTTGGCTGGAGTTTCGGACGTCACAATGGACGTCGTACCATTGGAGATGTACGATTCTGCCAGAGCAAAAATAGCTGCCAACCTGCGGTGGCTGTTTGCCAAAGCATATGGCATTGGTGAGTAATAATATTTACATTCATGCTGGACAAACAATAAATATGTTTTGTTTTCTTTAGATTTCCATTGACCTACTTACTTAATATATGTATGTGTATATGGTTTATTAGAAACTGGGATAGTGGTATCTGCAGCATATTTTCCTCATATCATAGTTATTTCAGAGGTTATTGTTGCATACTTTTTCAAAATGTTCTCCACGTACTGCCACCATTGTGTTAAACTTCCATGATGAAACATAGACAGGAAAAGGGAAAGAAAGCCAACATGAATTCCCCCATGACACTTGGCAGCTGAAGCCTCCCTCACTGAGTCACCAGATCCTTTCATGCTTGTCTGTCGGCCAGTGAGATTGAACCCAAATGAGGCTGAGTGACAGGAACTGAGGATTAGGGTTCATTTGTTAGACTGGACTCAGAGCATGGAAAATACTGATCTGCACCGCCAGTCACTCACCCCCCCCCCTCCCCTGTTAATATGGGATTGGCCTAAAACAGCTTTTCAGTCGTGTCTGTGCTTGCAACAGTCTACTGATGAATACAAGATGAGTCGTATGGAATTGCATTTTAGGACAACCCTTAAGTAGACATTTCCTTGTGGCTGCAGAACAAGCAACCTTGAAACCCCCGGCACTATTACTGCTTATCTTCTGTTGTTTTCTTCATGTCCTAAGTGCACTTTCTCTTCCTGGGTGCAGCTAGTGCATGATGAAGCAAACTATTTACATTTTCTTTATGTTTAGAAGAATGTATTGTAGATGTAAAGTTTGGGTAAACCTAAAGTCGTCCTAGTCAGTTAACAGTTAGTTTGAAAGGCAGGCGGCCATATGAACCTTTACACAGGTTTTGCTTGCTGTAATTTGTATTATTCCTGTTGGTAAGTGGCTGTTAAATATCTTCTAATATGTTCTCTATGTAAGTTCTGGTAGTCACAAAATCTATAGTTCCTGCTCTGCCAAATTGTATTTAGATTTATCTGAAGATATATGAGATCAGCAGTCTGAGGTGATCAAATCAATTGGAGATATCTTCTAAAATGTTTTTAGTATAACGTTTTCTTGAACAGCTGTGAACCTAGTCTATAAGGCTGATATGGCACCTTGGTAACACATCTTACCTTCATGATGATTCATGTTTTGTTAAATTAGTTTAGAGTGATGTTGATTCCAAAGACAGATGTGCTGCTGTTGGAATGTTATTAAGTTATATTTAGAGGTTTTTAACACCCAGTTGTCTATACTGCCAATAACTATCTTATTGGCATATACTGGTTTTGACCAAGTTACACAACATCATAGCTTTTTTGAATTAGTGGTGGTTGTCAGCTGTGTTGTTTTATCCCAACTGTTTACACCCTATATCTTTGTATATCCACAGAAGTTGAGAGCAGTGAACAGTCAAATGTACTTATCTTGAAACAGACTCCTACCCTTCAAATCTACCAGCCACTAAACTGTTGGCATGTTTTCAGATCAGATGCACTATATATTATCATAGACTTTGGAGTCCAGTGTTTCTTTGTGCATACCTATATATGATCCATGAGTAAAAAAACCTGCTGTGTGAGAATGTTGGCCTAATTTTTCTCCTAGAGCCTTCTCTCACATTATAAATATTTAACCTCTTAACGCAGACATGGCAACGGAGAACATCCTGACTGTTTGGCATTTGTTTAATCATCCCTCCTGGAAAGGTTGCAAGGATGAACACCACAGAAAGCCCCCATTGTTTTTAATCCAGGGCTGCTATTTACCTTTTGGTTTGCAACACAGTGTCTCCTTATTGTAGAAGTTAAGCTAAGTCAGTGCAAGCATTGGCTATCTATTGCACAACGCCCATCATTCACTGCTTTGCATGTCTGTTGCATCAATGTATTATTTGGTCAAATCCTCCATCAGGATTTAACAGGCTCATACAAGCTTTTCTTTGTAGTCTGCGGTCACATTTATATCTGTGGTCATTACACAGATTTTCCTAATGCCCCGGGCACTCATGATAAACAACTGACAGTACGATTGGAGATTTAATGGTAATCCAGGTTGTGGATGGAAAGCTACTGTCTGTTTTTTTTAGGCCCAGCGTTTGCCCTAGCATGTTCATTAGGCTTCCCATTTGTGTAGAGTTCATACAAAAGCGAAGGCATTTGCTTGCTCAGTTCACTGTCTGTACTCGCTGGCCCTAGCTAACGATGCACGCATAAAGATGGAGCATAACAACATCTCTGCACAAACAATAAGGCTGCATCGCAAATGATTTGGACGTACAGTTACAACAGAAAGCATACATTTTCTCCAAAGCTTTGGCAGCACTGAGCGAGTCATCTCTCAGGTGCAGCCGCAATTATCTTCCTCCCCTGGGAACTGAATATACTAGGCCCCTTTGATTTTCACCCTGTGGCTCTTATGGTGTCTCCTAATGCTGCCTTCTTTGCTTGGCTCTCACAATGACTGCCAGAAACAAACAGCGGCGTGTAAACAAGTGACGTAGTTCTATTTTAATTAAGTGCAGTCATGTCGTCAATGTTTGGGGATGGTCAGGGATTCAGGTGTATTTAGTGTGTATTCATTACCGTGCGATTGGCGATCACATTGTCTGTACACATGCTCTCCTGTCCTACTGACACAGCGGCTCCTCAGCTTGTCCTTAGCCGTGCTCTCCACTGCTCGTGCCGATCGTGTTGTGGTGCAGCTCATGCTCCGCTGACTCTGCCGTTGCACATCCCAGTTGTTTTTCAGCTAGACCATATCCTCATGCTCCACCCCATCTCCGTTAGTAAATGTTTCAGCTTGGCCCATGGTGGCAGGAGGGCGGGGGGCAGCTGCCACACAACATCATTGTCTTCGTAATGAAGTCAAACGTGAAGTCTCTCCCCAGCCAGACCCCTTTTGTTTTTATACACAATCATTACCCCTGTTCTAATTTGTCTATGTACTGAGACACAGCTCTCTAGGAATGACCCACACTACTGGTAGCTGTGCATAATAGATGAATGCTGTTGTACAATAACATCCTTATTTGCACTAATTTGTGCAGTGACAGTTTGTCGGTGAGGCTTCTGTTGTGTTAATGCATGCGGCATACACAGTGAGCATGATTCATACTGTCTGAGCATTAGCAGCTACTTACATAAGGGTTGTGTTTATCATATTAATATGGCCATTTCAGTTTATACCTTATCATGCAATCTCATTCTTACATATCTTTATAGCTGTATGTTAGATTTGATGCGTCAAACTAAAGGCTCGTAATCACTTCCTGATGGAAATGCCCTGAGCCTATTGTAAGGTTTGGGATATCCCCACTTCTTCAGTTGCAACAGCAAATGACAAGACTGTGATGCACCGCTTTGCACAGGAAGAAGCAAAAACAGATCTAACAACAGAACAGAGCAGCACTTTGGTCTGGAGCAGGGGTCGGCAACCCGCGGCTCTCGAGCCACATGCGGCTCTTTAAGCCCTCTGCTCTGGCTCCCTTGAGCTTAGACAAAAATAAGAAGGAAATAAAATAAAAATATTTGTAGGACTATTTATATTTTGTTGCATCTTGTATTTTGAGGTGACACGTAAAAAAAAAAAAAAAGTTTTTAATTAGGTCAACTAAAATATGCGTCACATCCTGCTACGGTCCCGCACCAGCGCCTTTTCTTGCAGGCGAATAACCTGACCCCCGGCTCGATGAGCGAACTATGGATAAATCAAAGAAAAGAAAGAGGTATCTGCTTTCACAGCAAACGATGCTGGCTTACCGGTATGTTTGATAGAGAGAAGTTGTCAAAGGAGCTGCAGCCTTTACGTATTGGAGGAAAAACACGGAAGAGGAAGACAGCTGACGATCTTCAGTCATAATTCAATCAGTTAACTCTTTTTAGGGTGCAGCTATAGGTTTTATTTATTTCAAAGTGGGCCCATTTTAATTATATTCATTTTCTTCAAATGTGCAGAGGACTCCCCAAGTGCTGTGTTGATTTATTTTAAAGTAGGCCTGTGTATTTTTTTTAATTCTCCTTATAAGAGTTCTTTGTTTATCTCTAAACAAATATATATTTAAACAGTTTTCTATAATGTAATAAATAATTAATGCAAACAAACTGTAGTTTTTGTCTATGATGTAACAATATATACAACTTTATAAGCTATCAAGCTATCAAATATGTTTTGCGGCTCCAGACAAAAAAAAATTGGTGGAAAAGGGGGCAAAATGGCTCTTTTGGTCAAAAAGGTTGCAGACCCCTGGTCTGGAGGAATCTTAAAAAAAGACTGAATATATTAGAAACTCTCCTTTGATGTCAAGGATTTGATCCTATTCTAGGATACTTTTGAGTCAAAATCAAGACGGTTGCAACACTTACGGGGTAATACCACACATTTATACATTAAGATAAAACCACAAAATATAATATAATATGATGTAGGCCACAAAATTAACTTAACTGTAAATTACTGCTGACTGCCAGACATGTTCAATGTGAGACTTACCAGTCCGTCGCCCTACCACAATACGCTACGATAGCCACAAATGAATTATAATAAAATGGTGTCCCCCTAGTGATTTGAACCGGAAAGCAGATTTCCATTTGAACTGGGCAGTTAATTTGTGCTCCATGTATTAGGATCTACAAAACCAGCTGGAAGGAGCTGCCTTCCTGTTTGCTGACGTGTGGCTCTCTTTGTCCTGCCAGTCAGAGCAGACGCTAAGAACCCTTCACATGCACCCATACGGCTTATGCTGTGTTATTGCAGCTCTACAGATTGAACAGAATACAGTTCTTTCCGTCACCACATCGTTTTATATAGTGCAGGGTTTTGGACAGGTTTTGAGACTATTTTAAGCCTCTGTTTGCAGTATAAATGATGTGTACATGCCTGAAGTCAACGGCTTCAACCTTTGCCCTTATATGGCTGTGATTTCTGCTATCGAGAGTGACTTCACATCCAAAGCAACAGAAACTCTTGTGCAGGTCATTGTTTCCTTTCTCTTTTTTTTCTTTTTGAGTCCAGTATTGTTATGCAAAGCCCACCGTGTCACCTGAGAGGCCTGCTCTCACTGAGCACTGAGATTAGCAAGGATCTGTTTCCCAATGAGCTCCTGAGGCAGTAAGCTCTGACTTACACTTACAAACGGCCATGTTTGCTCCATGTACACTAAAGCAGGCATAGAACAAATATTACATGGAAAGTTGTCACATTCCTGTGTCCTGTTGACGCTGAAAATGTTTGATGGGTGTATGCTGAAGCAGATGGAGATGTAGCACCGTCATATTCATACAGTATCTTACTATAGTGTTTTACCAGCTAACCCATATGTCTATCTTAAACAACACATGGCTTCCCTAACCACTTTCTTCATTGCAGACCATATTCCAGAGGATTTAAGGGACCCCTTCTACACAGACCAGTACGAGCAGGAACACATAAAGCCGCCTGTCATCCACCTGCTGCTGTCCTGCGAGCTCTACTGCCGTGTCTGCGCCCTCATCCTCCAGACGGAGCAGGCGGCGTCCCTTCAGTCTCACCTTTCCGTCATCCAGGCCCTGTCCAGAAAGGGCATTTATGTTGTGGAAAGTGACGATACTCCCGTCACAGATGAGGACCTGGCCTGTGCGCCCATCAAAATGGTGAGTGTTTGGACTTAATGTTTAGGTACACGTGTTGGGTTTATACTCCTATTGCATTCAGCACCAGGCAAGCAATACATGATGTTGATGTAGCTTTTATCAACCTGTAGCACACATTTCCTTTCCGAGAAGAAGGAAATCAGGGCAGAGGCTCTAACAACTTTGCACATTACCTGTAACATCCACAGCTCTTCCTGCTTCTGATGTGTTATCTTTCCACAGAGAGACCAGTGGAAAAGGCTTCTGCTTCTATCCAGCAGTTCAATCAATCTCAGATACAAGCCGTACTTTAAAACCTTGTTTATAGACATGATATATATACTGCATATAGTGAGTTAGAAACATATTTTGCTGCATACTGTTGCCCTCAGACAAAAAAAACACTTTTTTCGACCTCACACTGGCCCTCTAAATATTTTGATTTTTTTAAATATACACAATGTCACCTGACATGCTGGTGTCCAATAAAATGAGGGAATTATATGGGTGTGGCATTTTGTCTGGGGGTGGAGCAGTCCTTTCTGCAAGCAAAGCTGCAGGGGACTCGGGGCCACCACTTTTTTTTGTTCGTTGCCTCAGGGCAACACTGTGCCACTTAGACTACTTTTTTCCAGGCAATATGCAAGTGTGCAAATGTGCTCAGCTGTAAAATGATAAACCTAGTCAATGTTTTTACTTTACCATCTACTGATATTTACAGGAAATGGACACCAAAACATGTTATGGGCAGAAGGGACACGATCAGGCTGTTAGGGCTATTCCTTCTGACAGTGAGGACAGTGAAGGTCAAGATAGGGTTAGGCACATAGACACACACACACACGCACACACACACACACACACGCACACACGCACACACACACATACACACACGGACAAACACACACATACACAAAGACATACACACATACACACACACACACACACACACAGACACACAAAGAAAACCTTTTGAATTCATATAGAGTTGTTTTTTCTATTTCTTCTGAATTGTAGAAATCCTTGGTGTTTCAATACCCTCGTAGCACATTGTTGCCCTGAGGCAACAAACCAACCCCTGGTTGAGGGGTGTGGGGGGGGTCACATTTTATAATTGATATAATATCAGGGACCCCTAAGCTCCTAAAACACATGGTGAAACATTTTTTTCCTCCCAAAATAAAAAGTCATGCCATAGAGGGTTAATTTAGCTGAAGATTTGTCCGCTTCCTTATAATTTCTTATTCAAAGTAAGAGGTGGAATTTGACTGTTACTCATGCTGGTCGTGTGAGGACTATCATGCAAGATAAGGCTGTGATGATTAGGGATTGCTTTATGTGTGTTATATTGCTATGGCAATGTTATGTTGAGTGTATTTTGGGTTTATGAGTGTTCACATAAACTGATACTTTATTACTCCGTCAAAGATATCCACTTCTATCTAAAATGTATATTGATACACAAATAAATCATTCCAATAAGTAATTGGGGCCTGTGTCCTCTCAGAACCTGAAGTTTAATCATCCGTTTTAAGCGGGTTAGTTTTGTGCTAATTCTTCTTAGAATGGATTTTATTCTTGGTGACATTCTTTCACCTACGTTAAATCTTTTAAGAGCATTTGCTGAATTCTTGCACTTGGAAATCTTCCCCTTTTTGTCCTCGATCACCCTGTTAGTATACTTTTATCCAGCCTTTCTACCCTACTAGTCTTTAGTTTGATTTTTGAGGAAAATATCAATATGATGTCAGAAAAGATCTTATTATGCATGAAGCTGTGTTGGCTAGGCTCTACTGAAGTCTGTAGTCATACAGGCGTGGGTTAGGGTCATTGGTGAGTAGCCTGCATCCTGTAAGTCATCAGCAGCACCACGTCGCAGCGTGAAGAATAAAGTACAGGACACACCCCTCCCTCCTCTGTAGCAATGAGATCGGATGTCTCACGATTTCACCAAGAGCACTTCACACAGGATAGATAAACACCAACCTGCTAACTCGCTCTCAGTGAGCTCCCTACCTTTTTTGTTACCATGGAAACCAGCTATGGTGTAGAGCAGGCTTCCTCTCTGCTGGCTGCAGCTCAGCAGGGATGTGCGTCTGCTTTTCCTGCTAGAGGCCTGACAAAATAATCCACGCAGGCCTGTGTGATCGCAGCCAGACACAAAGCCTGGTGAGGGGAAGGAAAATCCTGAGCAGGACAGCGCTTATCTCTGATAGACCGCTGGAACCCCCCACCCACTTTGCTGAGTTGACAAGACGTTTCTATAGCAATGTGCTTTTTTTGACTTTGTGTGAATGAAGCGGCCTCTGCACCTTCAGAAAGTCCCTCTGCACCATGTCTGATTATGGTTTGGGGGAAACAGCTGGGCCTTGTAAAACCTTGAGAAGCTAGCCATGCTCTTTAGTCTATATAAACCTTTTTGTGTGTGCAGTGTTTCCCCTACCATTGTCTTGGAAGGGCGCTGCGCCCCGCCAACGGAGCCCCATGCCCCCCCCTGAAATTCAACGTGTTGAAAAAAAAAAAAAAAAATAATTATATATTTTTTTATTGGTAACACTTTATATTAAGGTACACAAATTAACCATCAACTAGTTGTTAATTAACATGCATATTAGCAGTATATTGGCTCTTTATTAGTCATTATAAAACACTTATTAATGCCTTATTCTGCATGACTATATTCTACAAGTAATAGGCCATTAGTTGAGAGATTTTCCTCAATAACCCCCTAATTAGTGCTTATTTATTGCAAGTAATGAAGTTGTTGTACATGAGTTTTGGTCTTAATATGCTCTGCTCAATATGGGCCTAATAAGGCAGTAGTGCCACAAGAATAGTTATTCTCCCATAATAACACTTAACAAATATGATCTCTTCTTATGTAACAAGACATGAAACTATAAGTGTTAATTGTGTCTAAATAACTCAAAATTATGTAAGAATATGTTCCCTATTTTAAAGTGAAGTCTTGTTCATAACCAATAAGCTATTAGTTTGACTCTAATTGACCTGTGTTAATGTTCCCTATTCTAAAGTTGCCCCCTCTTCACACTTTGTAAATACATTATAGCATTATATTTTTTTATATATACCACCAAATTGCAAGTAATCTATATCTACTGTCACTTTTCACATTGAACATGTGCTCTTTTATTAAATAAACTAAACGCTTTCATTTTAAGTTATGAGTTTAGTGTTTTTGACCCTAAGAAACACTGATGCATTACTCTACAGCTCCTCTCTCTGCTCCAGAGGATTTAAAAAAGATATATCCCAATGCCACCCCCCCCCCCCGGTCAGGCAGCACCCCCCCCAAAGCAGTAAACCTAGGTGAAAGTGTGTGTGTGGGGGTGTGTGGGGTCTGCTTGTCATACACACAGACAGCTCAGGGCGGCAGCAGCCCTCACCATGGGGCTCCATGTTGGAGGAGAACAAAAGATGTAACAGCACATCATATCATGCTGTTATATTTGCCCTTTTGTTTATTTATTGAGCACTGCTTAACGACAGCTGATTGGTAAAGGAAGTCATTTAACACTATAATTTTGCACAGACCTGAATCATCCTTTAAATATTTTTTTGAGTGAATCCTCTTAGGTCTTCATCCTTTGTTTATTCACTTCCCCCCCGACCTGTATCTAAAGCTGGCTACACACCAACCCGATTTTGGGAGTCAGAGGCCGTCAGAGGCAGTCGGGCATTCGTGGCGCTCTACTCAGGTTGGTGTGTCCCGCACCGTCGTCTCTTTACGGCACCTTTTCACACGTCAGAGAAAGTCGGCCCAAGCAATCACTCTGATTGGCTGTTCACCCTACCGCTGCCTGCTGGTAAGGACAGTTATTGCCACTCGTCGACTGAAGTATTTGCGGTGTGTTCGTAGGCGGGCGGCGTAGCCGACGTAGCTGACGTAAAAGTCGGACGCCTTCGGTACGCGTTCTTTGGTCTCAGGTGGGTGTGTAGCGGCCTTTACCGTTTAGGTTTGTCTGGAGGTAGATTCTAACTGTTACTGTCAGTGTTGTCCATTTAGGTCGTGCTGTGGTGAAAGCTCAGATATCTCATTTGTTATGTTAACGAGCCATATCTCTCTGCACTTTAATCACCAATTAGGTGATGCACACGGCACTGACTGAGACAATGGCATGCATGCATTTGTTGTAATGGTTCAGGTGCTGCATAATTGTGATGGTTAACCTTTACAGGACTTTCTTTTCATACAATGATATTCAGAAAAATAGGTTTTTGTTTTGCCAGCTGGGAACAACGATTTATTAGTATTTGGTCCGTGTTAAATCCCACTCTGACTATCAAGAAGTAATAATATTACTGGAAGGCACCAGGTGTCAGCAGGGATCCCCCTGCTGAGCCTCATGATTTGATAAAGGCTGGAGCCACACGAGAACGGTAACGCAAACAAACCAAAATCGTTATCAAAAAAGTCTTCCGTCGTACGCAATAGGAAAACGTATCCTTCCACACGAGACCGCTCGACCCGCTGGAGACGCTGTAGTACATATGCCGGGCCTGTAAGTGGCACTGTACTTCCGCCACAAAATACACCAAAAGCAGCGAAGAAGACTTCCGAGCATGGTTTCCATGGTTGCCCTTCTGTTTATTCTCCGCGGTGGATTTAGCAGAAGAGGTGGGGGGAGGCAGGGCTCCTTTTCTCCGTCAGCAGCAGCTGATCTCTGATCTCTCTCTCCTGTCCGATTAGACTTCACTCAAAGGACACCTAAACGATAAGCGACATTTTGACCGGAGAATTTTAGATTTCGGCTAACGGAAACTCTGCCGTGCGGGGGGGGTCTGCTGGAGGCACCTGCTGGGTGCACTGTCCTGCAAGATACCGGGACCTGGCTCGAAACACTCGGGAAAACTGTTGTTGGTGAAACACATCAGCAATGACGCGGGTGACACGGGGGTGAGCAGGAGAGGTGGGGAGAGGCTATTGCGTCATCGTTATCAGAAAATGATCGTATAGGGCGTAGACACGGAGCTGTTTGGCCCCCCAGAGCGTTTCGTCCGCAGATTTACCCACCTTGGGACCCGTTATCGTTATCTGCATTTCCCTGTCGGCCTCGTGTGGCCGAACCGTCTATATGATGGAGAACTGTAGCGGATACGACCGTTCTCGTGTGGCTCCAGCCAAAGACAGGTTTAAAGGCAGACACCCATTGTGCTGAATGAGAGGCGTCACCTTTGATTTGTGTGTAAAATATACACATACACCTCTAACGTCTGAAGGATGTTTTTAATTAATACCCAGTAGGGAAGCCCACCAATTGAACACACACACACACACACACACATCAAAGTCCATTTCCAGGTATCGCGGAGTACTACTGTATAAGGGGAAAAAAAGTTGTATGAAGCCTTTCCTCAATTTTTATCAGAAGGAAAATTCACTATACACTTTCACTTCGCATTATTAGCATTCATTGGCACTATATTAGAGTTGTCCCTTACCTTACTAATCAGCTTAATAGTGTTTTATGTTGTTTGTGTACATTTGCATTATATTGCAATTTGGACTTCCAGCTTATATAATTGCATTGTAAAGCAGGGAAAATCCAATGAAATTGAATTGTCTCCTGTTTCTCCCTCATGCAGAGTGCTCACATGCCCATGATTGATGCCCTGATGATGGCGTACACAGTGGAGATGATCAGCATCGAGAAAGTGGTGACTTCTGTCAAACGCTTCTCTACCTTCAGTGCCTCCAAGGAGCTGCCCTTTGACCTGGAGGACGCCATGGTCTTCTGGATCAACAAGGTGGGTACACACAGCACAGACAAGAATACAACAATTAAAGGGGACCTATCATGCAAAATGCACTTTTTGATGTCTTTTATACATAACTATGTGTCCCCGGTGTCGGGGAACTCACGCAGCGTCAGGAAAAAAAAAACCTTCTCTCTTTTCCTCCGTACCCAAATCTCTAAAAACGGGGGGGTACAACGGAGCTGATCCAGATTTGCGTCCGATATGACGTAATATCGGAAATGTGGACTCACGGCACTATCAGAAAGTTGCTATCAGAAACAATGCCCGACTGTTTTGGACGTAATATGGTCGGTGTTTACATTAGCATCGCTAACACTCAGAGCTAACCTGTACTGGAGAGCATGTGTGTGAAGAAGCAGGAAATAAAAAGGAACTCACCTTGTGGTATAACCGGCAAGAGAGAAAGCCTTTGAGCTCCATACTGTTTCAGAAATAATCCTTGATAATCCATGATATGGTGTTTCATCACCGCAGTATTTAGTTTAGACAGTAGCTGCCGGGTCCCGCATGAGCTCAGCCCCCTCCTTTTTTATTTTGTATCGATCTTTTATTTTTTTTAAGCTTTATATCCAAAATCAGCACTTTTGAAACAGGAAGTGAAATAGAGGGATATGAGGCATGGCTAGAATGGGTGATCTGTTTGGTATTTTGAGCAAAACACTTCATAGACATGTTTTTTATATATTTTTATATTTCTGAGACCTATGCTATTGCCTAAAAATAGCATGATAGGTGTAAAGAAACACAGCTGCACATGGATAAAAGAGTTTTCAAAACGTGTTGCATTGAGTCAAGTATTTGTATTTCCTAAATGTCTATCTGACTATGACCCTAGACTGCTTTAATGTGGTTTGAATCATCTGTTTCACGCTGACATTATAGTGGCCAACTCGTTTTCTTAAGGCTTGAAAGTCTCTGCTGCTCAGAGACGAGCCAACAGATAGGACTGTGGCTCTGGTGCACCCACAAGAGGCCCAGGCTCATGTTGCACTCATCTTTCAACGGGTTGAAACGCCTGAAGCAGCGTAGCCGTGACTCAGTGTGTCTATTACATATCATGATGTCCCACACCAGCAATGTCTGGAAGGAGGAAATTGTCTGTTTGAGATTTGAAACAAATATAAAAAATTAGGGGTATACCAATGATTTATCTATTTATTGTTGAGACATTACATGTCAGAAAACACAGATAAGTGCCCATCACAAGTATTTTTAAAGATGGAGTTTTTACAAGCTAGCCTCCAGGACTCTAAATACCTCTACAGCTGACGATTTTGAAAATGTACACGTTTTTGTTGTGTTGTCTGTTTTGGACCAAAGAGGAAAAAATACTGTCACGGTAGGGGTGTGATCAGATAACTCACCTGCGGCATGTACAAAGAAACATTTCCCAGATTTCTACAGAGAAAGTAGGCGCCATTACCAATTACCTACATAATGTGGTTTCTTGATGGTCTTTATTTTTTACTGCAGGTGAACATGAAGATGAGGGAGATTGCAGAACGGGAGCATAAAGTCAAGCACCACCCCCTGGAGTCCCCCAGCCACCAAAAGGTAAAGCCACATAGAGAATCATCCAATCGCTTCTTTTAAAGCTGAAAGATTCAAGAACCTCAAATACAAGAGCCAAAATGGCCAAAAAGTTTCTCCCAGCAGTTCCATACATTTGGCTTATGGGGACTTTAAGAAGTTTTCACTAGTCTTTATCAGGTGTCTTTATCAGGTGTCTTTGCAACACAACAGCAGGATCGTTAGTTTTTGAAAGGAATGTTTCTCCCTAATGGCATTTTGGAGTTGTTCTGACCCTGCTCTCTTTTTCTCTGTTCAAACCGGAAGCAGATCTGTTCCTTTTGTCTGTGACCTTTTGACCTGTTAATATCTCTGCTCCTATTCCTCATCTGTCCCCTCTTCCCCTCTCTTGTCCCTGCAAACTGGATAGTCCCCCTCCAAATGGTATTGGAAGCTAGTCCCTGTAAGTCTGATGCCAGCTCCCCACCATAACCCCATTTCTCCCCCTTGCACGCATAGTTCTGTGTTGTTGTGCGTACACACTCCACCACGGCTCATTCAAGCTCATTCTGTGCTGCTTGTAGCCAGTGTGCCAGCAAGAAAGGAAATCTGACCATTTGTTTCCCCTTGTTTTTTTTCCTGCTTGTGGCAAACATGTCACAGAGGTGTAAGGTCAGTCCCAGCTTTTATGAAGTGTTCAAAAGATTTTAGCAATGTGTACTATCTCATTTCAGGCATAAGAAGGCCATGTGGATTGGCTGTGCGTGTGCTTGCCCAGTGAGAATAAGAGGAAATCCATGCCTAATGCTAACACCACTGCTTTGCTTTGCAGTCCCTCTCACTGATCTGCTTTGTCACCCCCCCCGCTGCGCTCTTTCTCTTCTGCTCTCACACTCTGTTCCCTCTGTGCACACACTCTCCTCTGACAGTATATCTGCTCTCTTCTGTGTATGTCAGCTTGATGTCATGCACGAGCTGGCCCATTGCATGCTGGACTCAGAGCAGCTCTCCGAAGCGGTACAGTGCTCCCTCTTAGTCAGGAGAAGTCTCTTTTTTTTCTGTAGAGCTTATTTTGTACTAGAGTTCTTAAGCGTGGTTGGTAGTTTCAGCTCTAGCTCTGTATTGTTTTGTATAACTTGTAGAAAGGCATCCCGATGCACTGTAAATGTATCGGAGTAAATGCTGTACAAGTTATTAAGATGAACATAATTGTAGCTATTTGGATGGGTTTTGTATTGTAGATGTTTTTAAATCGTGCAATGTCATCAAATAGTTTCCTTGGGTTAAATCAGTTTGTGTTGAACATTTTTTTTACAAAATATCTTTGGTGGAGTTCATAGGCTGACATACTGTTAGATAACCCTATCTCTGCAATAATCTAATATTGCGTCTATATACCTTTTTTATATTGCAATATGATCTATTTAAGTCTTCCGCTTCTTCATGCTGTGGTACCAGTATCTTGCACCTTTATTTAAAACAGGACGGACATCAAAGCTAATTCAATCTTAATTTCTTAACAACTTTGATTCATTTTCTTTATGAATGTTTCACAAGTTCACAGTGTAACGTGAATATTTATAAGTCATGCAGAATAATTAGCAAACAGTAGTACCAGTCAGTACAGCTGATTTGGCATCCTGTGTGCTCTATATTGATGTTGCTCTAAATCTAATGTAGGTCTCTATTTGAGCTCCATGTTAAGTTTCTATAATGGGTTCACAGGCCTATGTAACGACCTTTATCATTTGAGTATTCATTTAATTTGTACTTTTTCATCAATGAATTGTGAAACCTGAAATGAATACTGAAAATGCCCTTTCTTACAAGCTGTGTAGAGTATGCATCCACGGTGAATGAGTAACTGTACGTTTTACACACTGATTTTCCACTAGTGGGACAGTGGTTGTCTCCCAGTCTGGGTCATATTGCCTGGTTGGGCTGGGCACTGCTGCTAGCCTACTTCCCTCTAAGGCCTGAGGAAGGCTGACCATCACCTCTGTGTTGTTCATATCACCGCTCAAACACTTTCATCTCCCACCAATAATCAGGTCTCGAGGGTTCTCCCTAAACTGGCTGTTTATGGTCCAAAATGTTGTGTCATCATCTTAAAATGACACTAAACCTGCTGATGATCAGTTGTTGATCAGAGAACCACAAATATTTTGTTTTGAATCTCCGGGGGAGAACCTTGATCATTAAATAGTCTTAAGCATTCACTGAAGCTGAAACATCCGAGACCAATATATGCCCTGACTAGTTCAGACGTGAATCTCCCAACAAAAAGAGATTTGTACTTGTGACACTAGTCATTGCATTTAGGATGTTTTATGTTTTGTCAGTGGTTGGTGGAACCATGGAGTTCTGTTATTTAAAGATTTTTATATAGGAAGTGGACTGCCGTTGTAAAATCTCGACATCTTGGGTTTTTTAGGCCACAAACTTCCATATTTGGAAATGAGGGTAAAGCTGGGGAGGAATTGCTAAAGCTCTGTCCTGATTGGCAAGTCGCTGTGGTAGCAGCGTGTCAATAAACATGTAACCATGCTTTAAAGCACTGGCAGCTTTATCATTTCTTTCATACTAAATGCAACATTAGTTAACTTTTACAGAATTAACATATTTCTGTATTGAAAAAGACTTGACACTAGCAAGGGAGATCATAAACCCTTTATGTTTACCGAGGTAATGAATTCAGGTTTAAGGCTGTTACATATTTGGCTTCAGACCCAAAGGCTAAGTCCACTTCTTGTATAAAATCTTTTGTTATTGCTGTTTTTTCTTCTTCTCATAAAACCTCTTCCCCCTCGCCGGCTGGTTAGGTACGGTACCGCCGGGAGCACGCTTCAGGCCGACAGCTGCCCTTCTTCCCTCTGCTGGAGGACCTGATGAGGGATGTTTGTGACGGAGCTGCAATGCTCACTGTGGTCAACTACTACTGCCCGGACCTCATGAAGCTGGAGGGTAGGCTGTGCTCGCACGCATGCACTTTGACACACTCACATGCCCACATTCAATAGCTCTAACTCACTCATTATCAGTTTGCCCTCAAATTATTTTCCAGTGAAGAGCATCGAGCTTTCTTTGCTCACACATTGAATTTAATATCCATGTGTGAGTCTATTTTTGGCCCTTGCACATGGCTTACTGTCCCAGTACAGTCAGTGTGACATTTATAGCCTTCAGGTCATGGAGTTGTGTCCCAATCTGACTCTTCCCCCCTGCTGTCTGATCAGATATTTGCCTGAAGGAAGTCCCCTCCATCGCTGACAGCCTCTACAACATCAGGCTACTCAAAGAGTTCGCCAACGAGTATCTGAATAAAAGTTTCTATCTGACGTTGGAGGATATGCTCTACTCGCCACTTGTGCTCAAGGTACAAAAAGTGACTGTGTATTCATTCAATACAAATGTGCATTTATTATATCAGGCAGCAACACAATCTGCATGTTGTTTTTCTCATGCTTAACAGATTTTAATTTTTGAAAGAAATTGTATGTTATTCTACACTTTATAATTGAATGTCTTATGCTCTTTATGTAGCACAATGTGATGGTGTTCATTGCTGAACTCTTCTGGTGGTTTGAGACCGTCAAGCCCGAGTTTGTCCAGCCCAGAGATCTCCAAGAGTTCAAAGATGGTAAGCATCCCGGTGTCATTACTGCACTCCGGATACAAACTAAAATGAGCTACTCATCATTCAATTCCAGCAGTACACGTAGCTGCAAACTCGTCACCTTCTGGCACAATTAGCCTTTTTGGCACATGTGCTACACGTAGATGGGATGTCACGTTTTTGCCATAGTCTGCAGTATGGTATGAGAAAATCCATGTATAGATGAATAGTTTTTACATAATCACGGTTCAGCTGATTCTAAGTATAATGATGTATATCTATAACTTCTTTATTTTTGGGTATTTTAATTCATTAGCGAGATTTCTGAGCAAAATGTCTCATCCCATTTAAATGCCAACCACTTTATTTATTTAATTATTTTTGGATCACAACTAGTAATAAATCCCATTTAAAATCTCCGGTGGAGCTTTTCCAATGTCAGCCAGCATCAGCCACTAAAGGTTTTAGCAGAATCAACACCCTTCTCGTTCTTCTTTCCTCAGCTCAAGCTATAGCTCAGCCCAAGTGTGCCCGCCCGTCAGTGCCTATCTCCAACGCCACCAAACGCAGCTTCCTGGCTAGCCCTGGTGTGGCCGATAACCAGAGCAGCCCTGAAGTCTGTAACAGGTACTTCCTGCATCCCGAAGACTCTGACCCCCTGTAAGTCTTCTCTTGCTTTCATTCTCGTTCCACCTCATCATGATCCTATCTCCTAACCAGTTACAGTGCAAGGACAGGTAGATACGCAGCAGTGTCTGCTCTTCATTCATGAGCCCTCCACCTCAAACCTTCTTCTCACCTCAATAATTATTTGCACAAAGTTCAGATCATTATTGCATTGTGTCTTTGTCTGTGTGTGCATTGTTAGAGCTTGTGAAGTAAGGGTTTAGGTTAGCTATCTTAAATGGTACTGAACACACACTTAGGACTTTTCCATCTTGTGTGATGTCTGGTAAAGTATTTGGCTTTGGTCTGTTTTTGTGGAAATAATGTCATGCTGTAAACTTTTTCATGATCTGCTCTCCCAATAGTGTTTGAAGGAAATTAGTGATTCTGCTAGAAAACTTGTTTTTTTTGTGGCTTTTAGTAAAGGGGGTCCAACCTTCAGTCAGTCCCACCCACTCCTGCCCCTCCGACAGAGGCAACAGAAGCAAGGAGAAGATGTGGCGGGTAAGGACAACATTCTTTAACCCACCTAAAGATACAGCCTTGCTGCTCATCATATGATGGTGACCAGCAGCTGTTTTATACTTACGAGCTTGTTCTGTGTCTGATTAGGTGTCAGAAGCCGCTCCAACTCCCTGACTCAGATGGAAGCACAACCCCGAGGCTCTGTGGTTGCATGGCCCGACAAGAGGCAGAGGTAAAAACCATAGTGAAAAAACAAAAACATGATGGGATTTTATCCAAAACAAAGGAAGAGGACGTTGTTTTACCAAAATGGCAGTCTTATACTGCTGTGGGGGTGAGAAAATGACACCTTTTCAAAGCTGCTGAAAAATATTTAACTTGCAATTAATGCAAATATATGTCTGAAAATGTAAGTTAAAATAACATGTGGAGGATGTATACACATTCCAAATTGTAATCCTTATTATTGATTAATCTGCTGAATTTCTTCCAATAATCCTTTGTCTATAAAAATGTAAGAACCTATTTAAAAAAATGTCCATCCCAATTTCCAAGGTGGTGTCTCCAAATTGTATCAACCCAAAACCAACAAATATTTAGTTTGATATGATATAAAAACCTGACATCTCGGTCTCTGAAAGGCTGAAAACAGCATTTTCTGTCATTTTGCATGAACACTTACTCTTATGATTTATCAATTATCTAAATGGTTGAAGATTATCTTGCTAATCGTTGCTACTCTGATGTAATCTGTGAATCAAGCTGACTATAAAAGTGAGCTTTTTCCTATGCTCTCCTCCTGCAGACCGATGTCCACGATGGGCCCCTACATGTTCCACTCGGCCACAGACAGTGACGCAGATGTTGCCTCTGGAGACAGTGTGAGTCTGGCTCGCTCCATAAGCAAGGACAGCCTGGCGTCCAACGTCATCAATGTCACACCCAAACACCAGACTGCTGTGCACCAGCCTTTACAGACTGCCATGCGCAGAGTGAACGGCCACAGCCTTCTGGGTAATGTCAACATTGAGGATGAGGAGGACATTCTGGTGGCAGCTGCCAGGACTGAAGCTCCCGTCATTCCCAAACGGGTCGAAGGGACGCAAACAGCTGCCACAGCGGGACCCAAACCTTCGGCTGAGTCCAAACCCCCAACAGATAGCTTTTACCTCGAACCACTGATGCCTTCTGTGATCAAACCAGCTAAAGAGAAGTCTGTATGCCTAAACAAGGAGGAAGAGAGTGGCGAGGGGCCGCACTCTTCATGTAGGGGCTCTCTGCGCCGAGGAGATGGATCTACGTCGCCCGTTCGGAGGAAAGCTCCCTCCGGCATTAACCAAACCTTCAACCCTCCAGGTCAGGAGACAGACCTGTCAGAGGAGCCTCAACAGGCAACAGATTCCCACCCTGTTGTTACCAGCAGCATGGACCCCTCGCCCAGAGAGCCAGAGGGGGGCTTCTACCTTCACTCAGATTCTGAAGAACCAAAACCTAGCCAGGTCCTGGACGCGGAGCTCGAAGACCTGGACGAGGAGGAAGAGGATCTGGACGAAGCTGTTACCACTAAAGACCCCAACAGGCCAAGCAAAGCCTTTAACGAAGACGAGGAAGAAGAGTCGGCTAAACTCCAAGAGGACATGAATGTGAAAGAGCACGAGGACAAAGACATGAATGGGGGCAGCGGCCGCTCCAGCCCCTGCCTCAGCGCTCACTCCCAGGCCAGCAGCAGCGTGCGCATGACCTCCTTCGCCGAGCGCAAAGCGCAGCAGCAGCGCTTCGGCAGCAACCACGACCTTCGATCCAGTGCCTCCAGCTCCCAGAGGACCACTCCCGATGGGTCAGAGTGCAGCGGGCCCCTGCCGTCCTCCTGGAGGCTTAAAAGGGACCAAAGCCCCTCCTCACCACTGGGAGGATGCGGCCGTATAGGCGATGGTAGCGGCTCTAATGTACTCTCTTCTGAAATCATCCAGCTCCGTATGCAGCTGGAGGAGAAACGGCGTGCCATCGAGCACCAGAAGAAGAAGATGGAAGTGCTGTCGGCGAGGCAGAGGCAGAAGCTGGGGAAGGCAGCCTTCCTGCACATCGTAAAGAAAGGCAAGAGTGACACGTTACCCAACCCGCTGAAAGCCGACATCTCTAAAGACGAGCTGGTTCGGGAGAAGGCAGTATCAAGTAAAGATGATATGTGTGTTGGTGCCCTGACGGGGGCCAAAGAGGTGGCGGGACCACCCCCCCCATCAGCAGCTTTGGAAGCAGACAAGGTAGCGACCAGCGACAGCTTCCATCTGGAGGAAGAGTTGGACCTGAATGAGTGCAGCCGCTCCATCGAGCTGCTGAACGACGCCATCGGCAGCATCCAGCAGCAGATGATGCAGCTGTCTCTGCAGCAGGACAAGTTGATGAAACAGAACGCACACCCCTCGCCTGGCCCTGCTCCAACTCCTCCCGTCACCACGGACAAAAACAGTGACTCTAAGGGGAAGGCAGGCTTCCAGTTCGTGGAGCATCTCTCCACCTCCAGCACCACGCCCACCAGGAAGCCCCCCAAGCTGACCTCAGCCCGGGGCTCCAGGTCCAAACCATCAGAGCTAAAGATCGCTAAGGAGCAGAGCCGGCAGCCCTCCAGGACCCTCACACCCACCCAAAGTGGGTCAGAGACATTACCACACGTACGGCAGTTAGCTGGGGGCCGGTCCCCCAGGGCCGAGCAGCCCCACAGCCCCAGAACCCCCACAGCAGCAGAGACTATCGACAGGCCGGGCTCCGGCCACATCCGGAGCGTTAACTTCCGTCTCCACGACGAGGCCAATATCCGCCTGCCGACCCGGGTGGACTTGAAGGCGGTGGCTGCCCCAGAAGTGTCCTTTGAAGAGTTCCTGTCCAGCACCCTGAGGGGGCCCGACCACTCTTCAGACGGGTCAGGCAAGGAGAATATACCGTCAGACGAGGGGCAGCGCAACAGATCCCTCCTGATCGAGGTGGACCTGTCGGAGCTGAAAGACCCCGAGGAGCAGGAGGCTGCTGTGGACTCCATGACGGAGGTGGATGGAGAGCAGAAGTCCGGCATGGGCTTCTTCTTCAAGGTAATGCCTTTGCATGAATATGGAGATTTATTTAAATATATGATTTGTAATGTTCTTTCTCCACTGGGCTACTTGTTGAATCATCCTGTAGATTACACCACTCTTGATCATTAGTTTTCTGATGGTCCACCTAGTCATCCTTCAGTAACTCAAAATGCTTGTATTGTGTAGGATGAGGAGAAGGCGGAGGATGAGCTTGCCAAGAGGAGAGCAGCGTTTCTGCTGAAGCAGCAGAAGAAAGCCAAGGAGGCTCAACTCCGGAAACAACAACTGGAATCAGAATCAGAGCTCAAACGAGATGAAGCCAGGTAACTCACTTCACCAGCTTTAGCATCACATCCAGATGGCTCTCTTTAAAAAAAGAACTAGCTATAATTAACGTTCTTTGTTTTAAAACCAGACAAAAGGCGGAGGAGGACCGCCTGCGTAAAGAAGACGAGAAGACGAGGCGGGAGCTGATAAAGCAGGAGTATCTGCGGAAGAAGCAGCAGGAGGTTTTAGAGGAACAAGGCCTGGTGAAGCCCAAAATCCCCAAAACCCCCAAACCCAAGCAGAAACACCAACACCGACCCAAGTCTGTGTTCAGAGAGGAATCCCTCCAAGACAATCTCTCCAAGTGCCCTTCCACACGTAAGAATGTTATATAATAGGTCTGACATTTAGCTGTTACATTTTTCTTTACATGTCTCAGCACGGTGCCGTTCATTAGTTTGTTCCAGCTGAGCTGTCCCTGCCAGTCATTTCCAGTTTGACTGCACTTACCACATGTCTGTCGGTTATTAATACCACGTTGATGCTGACATGACTGAGATTCATCTCTGAAAACAATGTCTTTAGCACTTCCTCAAATGAAATACTGGGATTAAAATATCAAATATTGAGTCATACTGAGTACAGTTCAGGATGTTTTTCATCATTATCATTTCAAATGAAGTTGGCCAGCTTGTGTGAAATAAAGATTACCAATGCTAACATCATCAAAATGTCATTAAACAAAGCTATTCAGTTTTGAAGAAAAGTGTTTGTTTTATGCTTCTTAAATCCAGTGTTTTCAGTCAAACGTGTTTTTAAGTTCCCGTGTTTAGCACTTGCTCCTGGAGTTATATGTTGATGTTTGAAAGTAATCCCCTCTGTTTCTATAGTTGACAACCTGAGCAGCGCCCAGTCCGGCTCCAGCCTGTCCCTGGCCTCCGCCGCCACCAACGAGGCCGACAGCGTCAACTCTGGAGGGGCGGGCTCTCAGCGGTACGGCTCTCACACATTTTTGCTCGCTTGTGCTTAAGAATACTCTGCGTCTTGTTTGTCCATGAATAAGATTTTATGTTTACAAAATACAAATGTCATACTGTTTGTTCAACCTCCTGTCTTTCTGTCTTCCAGCTGTGACTCTGTGGAGTCGGTTCCAGGCAGCCGTAACAACAGCCGAACTGCAGAGAGAGACTGGGACAACGGCTCCACCGCGTCCTCCATCACTTCCATGGCTGAATATACTGGTGAGTGCACACACATCAGTAACCTAAGAAACATTACGAATCCATTTCAGTGATTGTTAAAACACAAATAGATTGTATTTACTTGCATGACACAGACCTGTACGCTTCAGATGTTTTGTACTAATCTGACTGACAGATTATTGAATCTCTTGTTATGTATTGCATAGAAGATGTGTGGTCTAACTGGCTGTTCTCCTCTAGGTCCCAAACTGTTCAAGGAGCCCAGTGCCAAGTCCAATAAGCCAATCATCCACAATGCAATCTCCCACTGCTGCCTGGCTGGCAAAGTCAACGAGCCTCAGAAGAACCAGATCCTCGAGGTCAGTTCTCACCACACATCCACCTGCTTAATCGTTTGCTTCTGCTATGTTCAAAGAAATGACGTCTGACTATACTCAGCTTCTTCTAATATGTAATTCTGCAACCATTTTTTGCAACATTGCGGAATACTTTTTCTGCTTCATGTTTGCGGTACAGAGTTGGGAATCAGGTTTAAACTTGTACAATAGGTTTATTTCCTCAAAAACAACAAAACCTGCAACATGAGGCTGTGGTAAATCGCTGTAAGTTAATATGGGTTACGTTTTGAGGTTAAATAACTCCGCCACAAAATAATCAAGACTCGTAACACCAAACTATCCACGACACAAACGCAGGCTGTCACTCTTATTATGAATATATCTGCTTTTGTAACAATTCAATTATTTGTCTTTAATTATACCATGATGTCCCTCCAACTTTTTCAAATCAGATTTTTTGAAAAAATAAGCTGAAAAGGGAATATCTTACACACTTTAGATCAAGTTTGTCATCCTTTTCTGTGTGTCAAATCAGCAGTCTCACCCTCACAAACCTACCAATATAATATAACCAAATGTTATATTAACCAACCATTAATTTCCCTTTTCTCCATGTGTTTCCCCTCCTCTCCCTGTAGGAGTTGGAGAAGTGCGAGTCCAACCACCTGATGATCCTGTTCCGTGACGGCGGCTGCCAGTTCCGGGCGCTCTACTCGTACTTCCCCGACACCGAGGAGATGCAGAAGCTGACGGGAACGGGACCCAAGAGCATCACCAAGAAGATGATCGACAAGCTGTACAAGTACAGCTCCGACAGGAAGCAGTTCACCGTCATCCCCGCCAAGACTGTGTCCGTCAGCGTGGACGCCATCACCATCCACAACCACCTGTGGCAAGCCAAGAGAGGCACCGTGCCAAAGAAAAGCGGGAAATAACAGATAGCCAGTTTCAACCCCTCCCCCCCCCATCATCCAAATCATCTGACCACCATCTTGCTTGTTTCCTTAAATGACTGCATTGATGCCAAGCGCACCGCTATGGACACTGGAGAGCTCGCACTTATGTCCATGTGAGGCCCTCTGTAGGTGGGCCCAGACAAAAACAAGGGAAAGGTATGTGTGTGTGTGGTTGTGTGTGTGTGTGTCACAGGTGGTCGCATCAACAAGAGGAATGCTGGCTCAGTTAGTTTTTCTACGAGGAGCACGACTCAAGCATGTGGCATTTTGTTTCCTCCATCTTCCTCGTATGTGGTGGATGTTCATTTTTACATGAAGTATTTATTAGTTCAGCACTGTCAAGAGCTCAGCTGCAGCACTAAAGTCCTTCCTTCTGTCTCGGGAAACAAAAAAGGAGGGGACTTTGGGGGAATTCTGTCGCTCTTTTAGGGGGAAATCCGACGGAAGGGACCCTTGTGGGACCGCTCTGCGAAACAACGGACAACAATCTCTTCCTGCGTGGACTCAAATCTGTCGAATCAGGCTGGCATTGCCGATTTTGCCTCACCAGGGATCTCCTAAAACCTGCTGCTCTGAACTGTCTTCTTCTTTTCGTCACGGGGTGGGGGGGCCCCTCGGGGTCTCCCTCAGACATCCGTTGGCCTTTCACGCATCGTGGTACTACCGCCTATTTATTCGACCGCTTTTTAAACTAGACGCTGATCGTGTAGCACTGGATATGTGTATAGCATTGAAAACAAAGTCATTTTAAATACTTTTTATTTGTCAAAACATCCTTTTTCTTCAAGGGTGTCATAAGAGGGAGAAGGATAGGTTTTGGTACAGAAAGGATGATTCTTTTTTTTTTTTTTGCTTCAGCGGTTTTTATGATTGCAGCAACGTGGTAAAGAGCTGATGTTATGTGTTTTTATCATAACGGGAATTCTCTGATGTTTAGAGCTTAGTTGTGTTTTCTCTCTCCACTGGGCACTCTCTGATTGTCCTGTATAAAGGTGCACTCATGAACACTTGTCGACGGCTTCTGTCATGCAATGTAAACCCCCGCCCCCCCCCCCCCCCCCCTCCTGGGTGTTTTTGTCGGCCTGTCCCATCCTCTACCACGAGAGCGGGACAGACTTGTTGGGGAGGGTGTTTTCTCTCCGCTCCGTTCATACTTGGGATGACAGTATTTGATATATCCACAAAGGGTTTGTGTGTGTGTGGGGGGGGGGGGGTTCAGTTCTGTACCAACATTAAAGAACATTCCTCTAAGGTGTGGACAAACACTGCCACGTCGTCTCTCTTCTCTCTGTAAATCTAAGTGCTTTTTGAACCATTTGTTGGCCTGGAGATCAACCAGAAGTGTTGCACGAGCACTTTACTTTCTGTTTGTTGGGGAATCTTAGCTTTCTGAATGGGCATGAAAACTACAAACTCATCGATAACACTGCTGTCGTAAAATGTGTTCAAACTAAACCAAACACTAAGAGTGAATACTGACATGTAAAGCTGATACTACTGCTGTCTCCAAAAACAGAAACTTGATTTCTCATTTGCTGCATTGACTTGTTTTTAGGTGGCAGATCTGTAATTGTATGCAAGTTTCTTTTCATGTTAACTAAACGATTGTACTGGCATTTGGTCACCAACTTTGTTACACTAGTGTACTTTTCATCTTTGTTGATTTTATCTTTGATCCCATGCCATCTATTTATTTAAAAAAATGGAAGCACTGAAACAATAAATGTTCAAGTGAATAAAAGTCACATCTTTCATTTTAATTCTTTTTTCTCATGGCTTGATTTGTCCATTTGTTGTATACCACTATTTGTGTATTTTTATTTTTGCAAGTTTTTTACACCACACTGATTATACCACAGGCAATGCTGCATCTTTTCACAGAATTGTTTATTTTTCGTCACATTTATGAGTTAAAGGTCTTCTATCATGCAAAATGCACTTTTTGATGTCTTTTATACATAAAGATGTGTGTCCGGTGTGTCAGGGAACAAAACCCTCTCTCTTTTCCTCCGTACCCAAATCTAAAAAAACGGGGCTACAACGGAGCTGATCCAGATTTGCGATATGAAGTAATATCGTCACAGAGTTTACAGTGTGCCTGGTGCTCAAAAGGGGGCGGGGCCAGAAGATAATCAGCCATTCTTTAACAGGGCTGAAACAGAGGGATATGAGGGATGTCTAAAATGCATGATCTGTTTAATATTTTGAGCAAAACACATCATAGATATGTTTTTTATATATTTGTGACCCATTATATATTCCTAAAAATAGCATGATAGGAGATCTTTAAGGGGCCCTATTATGCTGTTTTGGTGTTTCCCCTTTCCCGCAGTGTGTTATATAGGTTTTTGTGAATGTAAATGTTCTGTCTAGGCTAACCCCCCCCCCCCCCTCCTGCCTGAGATGCCTCCATTGTAGACCTTTGACTTCTGTAACATAGTGGCGTCCCATACGTGACACTTGGCTTGTGCTCCAACACATTGTAACACTAATATCACACGTTGTATAAACATTTTAAAGCTGGGATTTAAAAATGCATCACTCAACATGATACTGGGTTTTCTAATTTCTGAAATCTAAATAGTGAAAACATCTCCGGGCCCCCCTTGTTGCTAGCCGCCTCACCCTCCACCACCCAACTGGAACAGCGGCGTTAGTGCCCGCGCTCTTTACCATGGCAAACTCTGCTCCACCATGGCAACAGTGTTTCTCTTCACACCTGCTGCTTCAGGTGATCACAAGCCCCCCCCCCGACCCGACCAACTGTCACTGCAGGCAGAGTCCAGGCTGAAGACCCTACAGAGTCAATCAGATCGGTTATCATGAAACGTAAGTGCATATATTCCTCTTCCAACGTTTTGTAACTGATGTTGAACTCACAGCATCGACTCTGTTTCTCTTCAGTTGTTGCAGGTCTCGTGCTGATGCTGGTAAATGTGAATCTGAGCCAGTCGTGTTTTGGAGCTGAAAACGTTTTATTATGCCAGGAGATGCCAACAGGTCAGGACCTTAAGTCTAGCTGGATGTATTTGGCTGATTTTAGCCTTTAATTAAATGTATTGTGATGTAATTTCTTCCACTCCACAGTGTTATAAAAAGTGTACCCCTAATCTATTTCCTTCAAAATAATTGCAAAAAAAGAGTTTTAAAAAGTTTGAGAGTTGTGGTGTCTAAGGATGAAAAAAGTTGGTTAAAAGGGTAGTCAGACAAAGAATTACGGTGATATTGACCTGCATGGATTCAAGGTTTTTCATATCTGAACATATGTATCTCTTTATCATGGTCAGAAAGGTTAAACGGGCTGTTTTATGCTTATGGGGGTTTTCTTTTCCTGTATACTATATATGTTTTAGTACATGTAAATGGTCTGCAAAGGCTAAAATCCCAAAGTTCCCTCCAGAGAGAGAGGAGTCTCCCACACACTCCCCCCCCCCCCCCCCCCCCCCCCCCCCCCCCCGATACATTGTGTATATCAGCCACTAGATGGCAGCAAAACATTACTTTGAAATTGCTCAATACAAAAAATGGAGTAAATGGAGTACTTGGTTTCATTAACAATGAGACATTGAGGTTTCCTTTTATTGCATTTACAAAATTAATACTCTTTTTAATGCAGATGTTTTCATGTCCAAACTGCTTTTCTTTGAAGGTAACTTCAAGTTCCACGTGCCTAAATACAATAATAATAATGCTGTGCTTTTTAGTTTTCCCTCCTGGTATATCCAATCTGGCCTTTTCTCTGAACGGCGTTGGGAAGATAAACTCCACTGTGTTACGCAGTGAGAGCCTCACCTCTGTAACGCACCTCCAGATAGAGAAATCAGGAATCACAGGGATCACTGAAGGCGCCTTCAGTTCTTTCGAGAACCTCACAAATCTCAATTTGAACCATAACTTGCTGACCGAGATCAACCCAAAGTGGTTGGGTCGTCCTCATATCCTCAGAAACCTCAGCCTCGCAGAAAACCAGATAGAAGCTCTGAGTGAGTCCATGCTGCACGGCCTCGATAGCCTCGTGAGTCTCAGTCTGAATAAGAACAAGATCAGAACAATCCATCAAAATACGTTCAGCAATAACTCCGTCCTGGCTGAGTTGGACCTGTCTGGGAACAGGATGACTTGGGTCTCCCCTCAGGTCTTCCAGTCCCTCAGGTCCACCCGGATCAGACTGGACGGGAACCCCTGGAACTGTTCCTGCGGGGCTGGAGACTTTGTGCACTTCCTGAAAGGTTAGTCAAATATAAAATTCAGAAAATAGGAAGTCATTGCAGAAACCTAAAGCTGCTGCTCTGCTCAGATCTGCAGAACAGATCTCTGCTGGACAGACCGATGGACGTGACCTGTGAGAGTCCTCCGTCTCTGAGGAGTCAGCGAGTGTGGAACGTGTCTGTGTGTGTGACGCCACCCCCCCCACCACCAACAGCGCCTGTAACTCCAACCCTCCAACCCTCTACCACCCTCACATCAGGCCCCACATCCACATCTGGTACATCCTGTTTGATCGTTGACATTCTTTACCATTACATCGTGATTTTTCCCACTTTTTACAATATATAATTTGTGCTTTGTGCATCCGTTGTTCCCTCCTAGCAAACGTTGTAACAATATCTCCATCACAAACTCCATCAGAGACACTAACCTCTCTCCAACCCAAACCCACTGACGCACCCACATTAATGTCGTCACACACCGGTACATGTCACTCTTCTTCTCCTAGATTCTGGTTTGAATTGTTTTCCATTAGAGTTTTGAATAAGTGTGTGCTTAGTATTTATGTTGTTCTCTCCAGCATCACATCCACCACGACATCCATCAGAGACACAAACCTCCATCCAACCCACCACGGTCGCTTCAACTACTTTAAAGTCTGATTCATTTAGTAGGTTTTATTTTTATTTTAATAAAAAATAATGGGAAGAGAAGTCTAGTTAGAAATCTGTGAAAAAAAGTAATACAAGTGAAAATGAAAACTCTCTGAGCTCTTTTGAGCAGCTTACTAAAGCCTAGCTGCTTCATAACATGTTTAGTAATAAAGTTGCACATCATGTTATTGATTTATTTATAATATCGATAAACGTCTGATAATAAAGGGCTTTTGTTTTGGAACCTTTAACTTCAGGCCATCCACAACCCCCGTCTGACTGACTGAATATTGCCTTAATTAAAAGAAGAAGAAAAAAGAAGTAATTCACAGAATATCTTTGCTCTTTTACTAAAAAAAACAACTAAAAAAAAGTATTTCATCTTTATTCTTCAAATCAGTTTTATTTGTCATGTGTCTCTTAAACTAAGATATTGGAAACTCAATACAGAAGAACATATTATTTATATTGTTCAGGATATTGAAAAAGTTGCCCACCTATTTCACTGAAATGTGTTCTTGGTCAACAGCACCACCCTGTGGTCATTCATAGAGCTTGTTATATTCTCATGCATTACTTCCTAACTATAAGGAAGGACATTATTTTGGATTTATTTATATTGAATATAATGTAAATATTGATAAAAACAAATCTGTTAGCGTACCTTGTTCTAAAATATGGATTGTTTAGATCTTATGACTTCTCAGCAGGACTGTCACTGACTTTATGTATTTTGATGTAGATCTGCATCCTGGCGTAGATTAAACCAATTGTAAACATTTGTATCTCATTACATTTAGAAGACTTTGTTGTTTGAACAGCTGCTCTCTTTAATTTGTCTGTTGTTTACTCTAGCAACTCGTGTGACATCAACTACGTCAGTGACAGAGTTCTCTGTCCATCCTAAACCCTCTGACCCCTCCACAATGACCCCTACACCTACACCTACATCTACACCTACACCTACAACTACACCTACAACCACTCGTAAGCCTGGTTCTTCTCTGCTTTTGACATTTAGCCTTTATATAATGTGTGCTTTATGCACCACCAGGACCACTGGACATGTCTCTAGGTTTAGAGTCCAGATTCTGGGAATCAAAAATAGGTTGAAAGCCCTAAACCCTGGGAGTCTAAAATAAATTGGTTTAAAATGATATGTTCAGGGAATCAAAACACAGGTTTAAATATCCAAGGTTCAGGTCATCTATAAACATTACGTTTACAATTCTTATTCAGGGAATCTAAAAACAATAGGTTTAAAATCCAGATTCAGGGAATCTAAAAAAGAAAGGGACGTTTCTGGGAAACTTAAAAAGGTCTCGGGGAGGCTTTACTAGAAAGGTGTATTCATGTATTATATATCTGTGGTATTCATGTTTTATGTTTCTTTTATTATCTTTGCTTTTTAATGTAATTTTATAACGTGTTTATGCTGCACTATTTCTTAATGCTCTTAAAGTCTTTAGTTTTTGTAAAGCACTTGTGTTGAAAGGTGCTATAAATAAACTTGCCTTGCCTTATGCATCTGTTGTTTATTCCAGATACTTGCGTGACACCCCAACCACCAACAGCTACACACATCGTCTGCACACTCTTTGGTGTGATAGGTACAGTAAGCTATGTTTGTTTGTTGCATGTTTCAGTAGGATTTCCTAAGCCATATGATCAGATGCTTGTACATGACTGATTCTCTGCAGTGGTCCTGGTGCTGCTCCTGTTTGCGCTGTGTTTCCTGATAGTTCTGCACAGGAGGAAACGCAACAACAAAAGCGTGATGCCCATCAGTCCAGAAGAAAACAGGGACGAGTTAAGAGAAGACGGCAGATCCCAGTCTCCGGGACACTCTGAGAAAACAGAAATCAGCCGGTGGGACTTAGAGACGGGATGGAGGAGATCCTTCACTGGAGTCAGAGCTAAGTCAGCAAATGCTATTCTCTTTGTGTCTCCTTTCTGTACTCCTGGGAAAGATCAAGTGACTTTACAAACTGAGGCTCAGACAACTCACACAGACAACCAAGCGGAAGTGAAGCCGAAACAGGGAGAGCACACCGGAGTAGACGGAGAAAGTGAGACAGAAAATCCCACAAATGAAGCTGTTGTAATACAAGATGGTAAACAAGCCAATGCTGGTGTGCATCTAGATGAAACCCTGCACTGTGTGTCTATACATACTGACACTGTACCTTATCTGAGCATTGGTACAGTCCAGAATAAACCAACTTCTGATGACTTTCACAAACAGTCCACTGATGCAGGTCAAAGGTCACAGAGAGGAAGAGTGATAGGGAGGATCTCCACCTGGCCTCCAACTGCAAGTCAGTGGCAGGCAAGGTGTAACATGAAGGAGGAAGAGGAGGAGGGGTCTGAAGAGTTCACTGACTGGACACTGAAGGTGGTGAAAGGGTTCAAGAAAGAGCAGCATCCCTTTGCTTCTGATCAGGATAAACAGGAAGAGGACATTGAGAAAACTCAAGATGATCCCTTAGAAATGAGCGTGGCTCACACGACATCTCAGGCCTTAAAACAAAACGACGAGACCCTCTCTCTCAGTGAGGACCTTTCCCACGCTGACAGGCTAGAGGAGCAGCTAAAGCAGGAGGAGGGGATCCAGGATGTTGCAAACCTGACTCAAAACCTGACTCAAAACCTGACTCGAAATCTGACTCGAAACCCGACTCATAATCCGACTCATAATCTGACTCATAATCCGACTCATAATCTGACTCATAATCTGACTCATAATCTGACTCATAATCTGACTCATAATCTGACTCATAATCTGACTCATAATCCGACTCATAATCCGACTCATAATCTGACTCATAATCTGACTCATAATCCGACTCATAATCCGACTCATAATCTGACTCATAATCTGACTCCGGCTCCAAACCAAGATCAGAAATCTGCAGGAAATGCTGAAAGCAAGAGCAGCAAGAAGAGGAGTGAAGCGAGCAGGCAGAGGGTGATGAAGGCTCCCTCCGGTGGAGCCTCGCCCGATGATGAGACTCTGCTGTCGGGCAACCAGTACGCCTTCATGGACCTCCTGCACGAGGTGTCCCAGAACCACGGCCGCACCACCAGAGACCGGTGGAGGCAGATCCACGTCACCAAGCAGCGGCAGAGGGGCCGAGGGGCCGAGGATGAACACATACCTGACATCAAATAGTGTCGATTCATTGTCACTCTGAAAATGACTATTTCACTTTAAGCAGTTAAACATGATTTTTGGCAGCAATTGAAGGTATAAGTTTATATTAGGGATAAATAATCATTTGCTTTTTTTGGCGAGAAGATGAATCGATAAATACAATCTGTCTAATTAAGGGATTTTGTTTTTAGCCCCTCACATTTCTAGATTTCTTGTATTCTCTGTTTTATATCATATTTAACTGAATACTTTGGGGTTTTAGACGAGACAACATGTAAAGACCTAGGCATTTGAGAAACTGGTATGAAATGATATTACTGTTTCACATTTTAGTAAAGGACGGTTAAAACCTACAGGTGTGAGATGTACTGACAGTCAGGTTGGGTGTAGTTCTTTCCCTAATTTAACAGAGCCTTTAACATTAGGAACCCCAAAACATGTTTAACTATATCTTTTAAAAACATATTAACATTACCTGCTTGTGTACTTTCAATGTAATCATTGTTCATCATTCAATCACTGCTTTAGACCCTCTAATGTGTACATTTCTTGTTTTACATCATATTTAACTGAATAGGTTTGTTTTTTAACTGACAAAACCACACATTTAAATGAATCACCTTTGAGAAATTGGCATGAAATGATTTTACGGTTACACATTTAAGTTTAAAAAAGTCAAATGATTTACTTCACCTGCTTCTGTAGTTTGAATGCAACTATTGTAACACTTTATTCTCAGTCTTATTATATAATACTTATTCTGATTTAATATCACTCTGATCAAATCAAACTACAAATCATTTACATGTGATTGTACTCATATTCACCATTCAAGTTCAATTTATGATCAAATAAAAACAACTTTCCATTCCTCGTATCTGGCTGCATGCAGCGTTTATTTGTTCATATTTTATACGTCGAGAAGAACACTTGCTTCCCATAAGAAATAGTACAAAATGGATCAACCCCTTTTTGACAACGACTTGAGAACATACAGTTGGTGGTAAACATAATACGTAGGCTTCTTGATAACACCTGGACACAACATGCATGTTCCATTCATATAAATACACAGTATCAAATAATGGCTCCAACTTGCAAGCAGTTGACTGGATTATGGGGTTCCTAGTCTTGGGACATCCCGCTAAATGTACAAAATGTATCGTTCTTGGCAAGCTTGTATATCAAAACATGCTGTTGAGTGTTTCCATGCCCCCTCGTGGTATTTTTAAGTAGGAGTGTAGAGATTTTTCAGGTGTGAGGAGAGAGGAAGACGTTAATGGATGGATCAGTATCTTCCATCGTGGTCGCTCACACTCCTCCGCTCTCCTGCTCTGTAAACTGACACTGCTGACACATATCAGCAGTACATTTCAAATGGGGCAAAACACACACAGGTCAACATAAAAAAAGCAGATTGCTCAAAAACAACACAAAACAAATCCATCTGAGATTACTTCACTTCTTTAACATATAAATAAGAATGGCACTCAACCAAATACGCTTTTTCAAACATCTGCAAAGATGAATTGCACCACAGGAATGCTTGAATACTCCACCGTGTCGTACAGATTCAGATTAAAGGGTCATGCTGTTCTGCTCTTCACGTCCCCAGAGAGCTTAGTGCAAAAATACTTCAAGTCCTCTCTCTTTGATCACACGGAAGAGACCGAAACAAAACGGCAAAAACAATGGATATATAAAGTTACTATTTACAGAGAACCAAACATAAATCAAGATGAAATACTGCACTCTGACGCTGCCTTATACACGAGGTGTGGCCTGTATCATCTGGAGAGGAGAGCACTTTTCAGGTCAAGTACGCTCAAAATAGAAACGGTACAGGACAGAAATGTGCCGGCGCTGTCTGTGCAAAACCATTCTGCTACCAGTAGAACTGAACATTCTTGAGTTATGGAACTTCAACATAATTGAACTAAACGAGAGTAAAACTAAAACACTAGAGCCTGATCCATGCTTAATTTCTGTGGCTGATATTTAAAGGTCCCATGTCATGCTTTTCCGGTTATTAGGCTACCTGTCCCCTTGTGTGTTATGTAGCTTTTTCTGCATGTAAACGGTCTGCAGAGTCACAAACCCTCAAGGTACACCCTGTAGCGAGTAAAACTCTAACACAGAAAAGACCTGTCTATGCTGCCCCAGAACGCCTCGTTGGAGATTTCTCTTTTTCCATTGTTTTCTTCCTGGTCATAGTGACGTAACCATACCCAGGTCCAAATGGACCAATCCGCGGAGCTCCGCACACACAGCCTGGCTGTGTGTGTGTGTGTGTGTGTGTGTGTGTGTGTGTGTGTGTGTGTGTGTGTGTGTGTGTGTGTGTGCGCTCAGACTGAGTTCCGCGGTGTCTCGCTGTCTCGCAGACCCCACGCAGCAACCAGGAAACGACACCAGTAATCCAGCTCACACTGTCCGCTCCTCGAGCCCCACAGGGCGGAGCAGTGAGCCCCGCAACGTCCCACCAACACGGCACCCAGACCCCACGCAGCATTCTCATCTGTTTGCCATTACTGGTGTCATTTTCTGGTTGCTAACAAACGCCATTGTAACACATAATCACTGATGTTCCGCTACAACGGTGGTGGACTCATCAGAACAGAGCACAGTGGGCTCATAGGGAGGGGGGGCAGGAGCTCCAACAAGCCGTGTAGGACAGAGAGTGAATACACATACTATACAGAGATGCTGTATGAGAAACCAATGTGATTTTGGAACATTGAACAATATAAATCTATCTATGTTGTTCCTCAACAATGGAATTATGATCAGTAGAAATGGCTATGTCATGGGACCTTTAAGGTAAAGCACTGTTGATAGTTACTGCCCAATATTAGTTTTTTTTAACAAATATAAGAATACCTTCAAGTAAAGATAAATGATTTGTAATATATTCTTTCTAGCTTTAATAAATAAATAAAAATACCAGTCAATGTTTTTTGGCAATTATGAAGCCACAGCCAGGAGGACGTTAGCTTAGCATAAACATTGAAAGCAGAGGGAAACAGCTAGCATGAAAGCGCCTCCTAACATCACTAAGTAACACTAAATAGCTTGTTTAATCAGCACAAAAGTGCAAATGTAAATCAAAAAAAAAAAAGATTTAACCGAGAAAACAACTTGTTAATCATAGCTTGCGAGGTCCTGCTAGCTGTTGCCCCCTGCTTTCATTACCTTAGCTTTTAGGCTAAGCTAGACTAATTTCCTTCTGGTTTTAGCTTTATAATTATCACACAGACATGATAATGGTGTCAACTCAAGATATGTTTTTTTCAGAAATGTAAAACTGTTCTTTTAAATGTGAGAGTTGTGACCAAGATATGTACTGAGTGATACGTTTCACATTTGAATAGACAAACGTGTGTACATTTCAATACAACTACAAATGAAAGAACAAAGAACACATAAGTTAAGCTAGGAAAAATAAGACTCTAAAAATATATTAAACAAAAGTAGAACATTTTGTGGGCAAACTTGAAATACGTAAATTGATTTTTGTTAAAATAGCCACATGGACATTTCAACTTCTATGACATATTTTCGATAATTTAAAACAGGATTATATATTGGGCCCGGCAAATAAAATCAGTCAGGCTCTTAAACAAAACAAACAATGATATCATAAAACAAATGCAAAATGGCACGTACTGTAATGTACAAATCATTGTAAAGATATTTACAAAGAAAAACAGTCAACTAAAGAATGGCACATTCTGTATAGCAGACATCATATGGGACACTTAAAATAGTGAAATAAATTAACAATATTCATTCTTTAACAATAACCACAACAAAAATCAGTGTCCAAAACACAACAGAGAAAAATGCTGACAATTCTAATATGGCCAAAAAAAGTGCCACTATAGAGTATATTTAGATAAAAAGGTTTGTGCTCATAAAGAAAATGGAAATGTCTGTTTTTAGCAGACGTAATTAATAGAATCAATAGAAACTCAGAGCATTTACTTGTAAGAAATGCGATTAAGATGTGGCGGAGGATGCAGTTGCCTCTGGATTATTTTCGTAGTGAGTTTAGACAGAAAAGGGCGTAGAGAAAGTGGGCGACTTCACTCCTGAGTGAAATGTTCTGATATCCCGTACAGTGTGTGCACGTTAAACCTCCTACGACCGTCTAAACACCTCTCAAAACATCCCATCATCCCTCAGTGATCCACTTCCTGTTCCTGGTGCGAGGTGGGCGTGTGCGAGTACAGAGGTGTACGAGGGGGGGGGGGGGGGGGGGGGGGGGGGGGGGGGGGGGGGGGGGGGGGGGGGGGGGTCGATGACGAGGCACTATTCATGCATCCTCCGGTAGCAGCTCAGTGGGAAACAGCAGCTTTCTCATCTTTTTCTAAATGTTGATTATTTTTCTGATCTGAGAGACACATGATGTGGACTCCTCGCTCTGTGAGAGGAACATGCTCTCCGGGGTTAAGGTGTCAGGGTGTCAGGGACTGAGGGGCTTCAGAGGTGAGTCTCGTCTCTCGTCTCTGAGACAAAGTCCTGCTGGTTCCTGCGGGGCTGCCCCGTCTGGGATTCCTCGGGCATGTGAGCCAGCGGGTCGGACCGGATGATGTACCTGTGAGGACAACAACATCATCATCATCATCATCATCATCATCATCTGCCAGCATGGAGCAGGAACTGAAAGGCGGAGGAACTGGGGTGTATGTCTTTATAAATCACACGTTTAAATGAAATAAAGGCTCAAAGTTATTCATAATTAGCGGCGTGCTGCTTTGATTGATGTCAGAGGATGGGAGTATGTGGGTCTCCAGATCGTAAAGGCTACATGACACACCCTCTCATCATCACAGTTACCAATACTAGCAGGCTAGGTTTAGGAATACGACATGATAAAATCCGTATGTTAAAAGTGATCTCAGCTCATCATGTAGTCAGCAAAACAAAGGAGCTGATTGTGGATCAATGGGGGGGCTGTGGCTCAGTGGGTAGTGTGCTGGACTTGGAATCAGGGGATAGCAAGTTCGAGTCCCACTGCAGTCAGCATGTCGTTGTGTCCCTGGGCAAGACACTTCACCTCAAATTGCTCCTGTGGGGATTGTCCACAGTACTGAAAGTATGTAAGTCGTTTTGGATAAAAGCGTCTAACAAAATACATGTAATGGATTACAGGAAGCAGCAGGGAGAGGGACACGCCCCCATCGCCATCAATGGGACTACGGTGGAGAGAGTCAGCAGCTTCAGGTTCCTCTGTGTCCACATCACTGAGGACCTGACATGGTCTCTTCACACCACCACCATCACCAAGAAAGCTCGACAGCGGCTCTTCTTCCTCCGCAGGTTGAGGAGGTTCAACCTGGACTCCAGGATACTCTGCAACTTCTACAGGTGCACCATAGAGAGCATCCTGACTGGCTGCATCACGGCCTGGTACGGCAGCTGCACCGACCTTAATCGTAAGGCTTTACAGAGGGTGGTGAAAACTGCACAGAACATCACCAGGACGGAGCTGCCATCCATGGAGGACCTTTACTCCCAGCGCCTCAGGAAGAAATCCCTCCGGATTATAAAAGACCCCCATCACCCCAGCCACAAACTGTGCCGTCTGGCAGACGTTACCGCAGCATCCGGACTAAAACCACCAGACACAGTTTCATCCCACAGGCAATAAGACTGTTAAACACCTGAACTGTTGAAACAACATCCATAACATTCATCTGGCTTCTACTTAGAAATTATTTATCTATTTACCTAATATATCATATTCCAATAACTTGCATATACTCTTATTGCACTATTTCACTTTTAAAAATATTTTTTCTTTTTGTATTTACTATTTACTTGCACTATATTTTTCTGTTTATCTGTGTTATTGTGTTGCTCTGTTGGAGAAGCCTGTGACCTAAGATTTTCATCGGCATAACTACACTGTAGCTATGTTCGTATGACTAAATAAAGAACCTTGAACCTTGCTGCAGAAAGACCCTTCTTGGTAGCAGTCTGCTCTGCTAGGTAAACCGAGACCGCATCATCTCCACCTCTTTGCCCATTTTTAGAAAAGCCAGAAGTGAAAGCCAGAGTCTGCACTGCCAGGATTAAGAACCGAAGTTACAGTATATATGTTTTACTTCAGATAAAGACAGTCCAAATGTGTTTTTGAATAATACTTTGAAAAGAGAGAGCATATAGTCAAGGGATGTAATACAAAATGATGATATTGCAAGTTGAAATGAAGGTTTACACATGCTTTTAACTTGTCAAATTATTACAGACATATTACAAGATTTGCTCCACATCTTTTTTGCAATATGCATTAGAATGGGATAATTCACATTGAAGTTTTCCAGTGTCAATGTATATAAACGTTTCAGGAAAGCAGCATTTCTGTGACATTCACTGCCCTGATTTAGTACACAGAGAGTAATGGAAAAAGCTGTGGTTCTTACACGATGTCGTTGAGCTCCAGCACGGTGTCAGGAGGAGGGTTGATGAGCACGTAGGACAGCGTGTTCTGGTGGTCGTTCATCTCGTCTGGAGAGAAAGACAGAGGAGACCTTCAGAGCCGCTCTGGAGCCCCCCCCCCTCGTCCTCCTCCATTAAACAGGAAATGAACCCTCAAAATACGAGACTCCCACTTTTTAACCTTTCAGTGAGGACGAAGGAAAAGAAACCCACGTATGGAGCAGTGATGCCGTACTGCAGGTCGGCTTTTATCTTTGTTACAGTTTACGATTACACTTTAATTGCAGTAAACTGACAATGCAGTTTTTTGCTAGGAAATAAATAGCTTAATATTGGGTTCAATAGTATTCTGACCATTAGCCCAACAGATACTGGATTTGAGGCCGATACTGATATATATATAAAAAAACAACCTAATAACAATATATTACACATTTTATTTACATACAACACAAAAAAATACAAAACAAATAACTCCTGATATGGATGATTGGATTATTTTAAAGCTTTATAGTTAAAATGTATGTTACTTGATTTAAACTTTTTATTTTGATTTTAAACTATTTCTATTTTTTGATCTAAATTACTACTTTTTTTATTTAGCTTTTTTGATAAATTACTAATATTCTTTCTAGCTCAACTAAATATTTACCATTTAGATTTAAAGATCATTTAGTCAATTAAAGGGGACATATAATACAGATTTTCAGGTCCATTTTACAGTTTTTAAATTGAACATGTTTACATGTGTATATCAACAAAAAACATGTAATATTTCTTATACTGTGTATATTAAAATATCAGGGTCTAAATCGATCTGTTTTGCCTCCTGTCTCTTTAAGTCCCCCTTTTCAAAAATGCCCAGCCTGCTCAGGTTGATGAGCAAGCTTTATTAGCTCTCCAGCCGTAGGTGGAGATCATCAGAAGGATGGAGGTTTATTCTAATGAGCCTGGTTGTGATATAGAAAGGGATCCAAATGTAAATGGCAGCCCACAAAAAACAAACTGAGTTGTCTTATTCCACATTAAGTGGGTAAGTAGGCACTAAGTAAGTTTTTAATGACACGTCTCATAGACAGCATCAACAGTTGCAACAATATTGTTTTATTGCTTCCACAGTAAAGTTGCCCACCGTGGAAACAGTTTTATTACGAATCAATAAGAGTTTAACATTCATTCCCCTGAAGAGCCACATTACTGTGTGTGTGTGTCAGTGTGTGTTATGTCTGTCTGTGTCTGGCAGCAGCTGCTACTTGCGTTGCGTGATGGACGGAGGAAGGTAAAGGAGGGCACAAGTGTCTCCATGACAACCCACCTGCTTGTGGCCCTTTATAAAGCCAGGCGGGGTGGAAGAGAGAGAAGGGCTAACCGTTACTGACAGGGCACTCTGTGGAACAAGGGGAGGGGGGGGGGGGGGGGGGGGGGGGAGGGTGGGGAGGCCCATGCTCCCTGACACAGCTCCCCATGCGCAGCGTCAGGACTGAGCCAGCATGCAGACAGCGTCCGCGGCTACGCCACAAATCGTTTCCCAATACATTCCCATTTTCCTATATTTTCTTCTGCGCATTCCACACTGGACCAAGGCGGCAGGTTGCCATGCCAAACGGACGACACTCAGCCCCCACCCCCCCCGCAGCCCAGAGGGACATGTGACACATCCACAGACACAGAGAGACATGCTCCAGCATCCTTCACACCGGACCAAAACGCAGAGCGACTCCGACCAAACTGAGAGTGGAGCAGAACACATCGGGAGTGTGAGAGTGGAAGAGAACCACCTGCTGCAGGAACACACACTTATTCTGTTAAACTAAGAGGAGACATGACATTTTTATAGTAGGCTATTCAGTGTATTTGATATGGATTATACCATGGTCACATATAGTACTCATTTCTGATTTTTTTTATAGTTTGGATAAAAGAAACCTCAAATGTAGGTGCAGAAAGTTAGGTCTGTGTGTTATCTGAGACAAACTGTGACTTTAAATTGCTGTCATTTTGTATACATTGCTCAATTTTAGCACCTTCCAGCAATCCAGCAGGCTGAGGGTCCTCACAGAAAATGCAGGACAGGAAATAACACCTGACCTCCAACTTTGTTTCACTTGCTAAAGACCAGACTTAAAAAAAGTCAAAAAATAATCAACAAATGATGCTGGTCTAGACTTAAGAACTATTCCTAAACTGTCTACATAATATTAGCACTTTGGACTGCAGAAGGAGGACGCTTCAACCATTTAGCTTCTTGTATGGTGGCCCTGGGAGCTCAGCGCACTGCCAACTACGGTAACAGATTTCTCGTGTTGTCAAATTGGTAAAGATATTTCTTCCTCAGCTCGTCTACCGGCCGTTCTTCTTAATTTGCAGTGCGTTGAGCTCTCAGGGCCAGAGAAGCTTTCCGCTACTTCAGCTCCCTGCTAACTTTAATATATCCCTAGAGTGCACTTTAGAAGTTAAACAACTGGAGGTCAGCAACATTTAAGATAAACAAGATCAAATATTCTGGAACACATAAGCAGAAACATGTTTTCCTGACAGGTAAGTCAGCGCACAGACTATATGTAATTGCAGTATTCGTTAAGTCAAACTAGCAGAAAAAGACCAACCTGTGCATTAAAGTTAATACAAACAAACTTTAAGAAAAGTGAAGCTGCTTCTCATTTTGTCTGCTGTTAAGTGGCCATGGTATAAGTGTGAAAATACACTTGGAGGTGTCCTGATGTATGAAAACAACAGACACATTTCATTTTCTACATCAGCACACCTCTGGTCTTTATATATCTAACGTACACATTTGAACTGTACATCTAGCCTTCCATCTACAGACCCAATGCGCTCCGCTCCACCCTTTAAGCCATACTCTGGACCCTGCAGTACTCTAGCCATGGGGGACGCCACCTCACGGAACACAATGCAGAAAAGACCAGATAGAGAGAGGGACAGTAGAGTGAGAGATTGGCTGCTGATGTACCACTCGTTCTGGCAGAACACACGCACACGTATACACACACGCACACACTCATGCAGTAGAGTTGTAACACTGTGATCAACCAGCTAACCTGACGGCTTGGTCCCCTCTGAATACGGGTGCTCTGAAATGTCCTGCAACTCTAAGCAACAGCATACACTGTTAATATCCTAATATGTTCATTTATAATTAACTACAAAATGTTAACTACCAACACAATGGTTAGGACAAACACTAAAGCCTTACATCTAGTTCTTAATTCAGTGCAAACTTCAGAGGATGCTGGTGAAAGGACAACTTCCTTTCCTACAAGATGGAACGCAGCCACTCACATTGTTGTAAATGAGTTATAAACGGCACACAGGATTACCTTGCAAATATCCTAGATTTACTCGATTCATGACATCGCTCGCAGTGAGATTAGAAACATCCTCTACAAGCCAAAGGAGGGAAGACACAAGAGTCAGAGAAAAAGGCAGAGAGAGAGAGGAGGAGGGGAACAGAGGAAAACAAGAAATAGAAAATAATCAGGCAGGCAGCGAATGCATTTGCAGTTTCAAAAAAGGACGTTTCAAAATAAGGTGAGAGCGATGCAAAGAAGCCATGCATCGGTGTGTGCACAGAATCACTTCCGAATTATTCATCTGTCACATGTTATGATCCTGCTGCAGTAATCCTCACTGACATTCATGGTTCATAAGATGATCTGGAGCTTTTGGGGTTCTTCCTGAAAGGTATTTAATCCACACGTTACATAATATTTAGCAAGTGCAACACATCTGGAGCATGATTCTGCTTTAGTTTGGAAGCGTGAAGCTGGGAGGAAAAGAAAAGAAAAAGTGAGCAGATAAAAGAGTGCAGGCAACTGCAGTCTGTGTTCATATGCAATCGAGACAAGGCTTGCTGCTCCTGCATCTCCATGCATGACGTGATGATGATGATGATGATGAGGATGATGATGAGGAGTGTGAAATGGTGAGAGTGTGTGATGGCACATGGAGGAGTTTGATGAGTGAGAAACTGATGTGAGAAAATGATTTTTTTTTAAAGGGTAATGATGATGTAGTGCGATGTTAATGATCTCTACAATAAATCCCCACGGCACCACAGCTATAGATGGTGAGATGAGATCAAATGACACACAGTGGAGTTTTTAAACACAGACTCTCTCACAGCTGACATCATTTAACTGGTTGAGAGTGGGTGGAGCATAATAATAACCAGGTTTAGTAGTCGAAAGTACGTCAAATTTAGTGTGTTCTTGGAACTTTTGCTTTGCCTTCAAGTAGTTTTGCCTTTTCAAAAGTTGGTGAATACAACTTAAGTAAATGTTATATTGCTACTTACCTTCATATGTATCACTAAGACAAAACCGGACTAAATGATGTGGTTTGGCTTTTTAACACTTTGTAGCTTCACAAAATCACTGTATACATGCCTCCTGCACCACACTTAGTCAATTTAAAACAAAGCAACCCATAATACATGGGTGGCTCAGTGGGAAGGACAGATAATGTGGGCCATGCCTATAAGGTGCTTTTAAGAGAAGACTTGTTTCAGATTTTCTCAAAACTGAAATATCCTTTAAAGTGGACCTATCATGCTATATTTTAATAATATATTGTAGGGCCATACCTATATAAAACATGTCTGTGAAGTTTTTTTTTTCAAAATACCAAACAGATCATGCATTTTAGCCATGCCTCATTTCGCTCTATTTGCTCTTTTCCAGCCCTGTTTTTGCAAGGGCTGATTCTGTGAGAAGTCTTCTTCGCTGCTTTTGTGGCAGACTACAGCGCCACCTACAGGCCTGGCATATGTACTACAGCGTCTCCAGCGCTTTCGAGCTGCAATGGCCGTGGCCGTGGCCCAACCCCCCATTCCCCTGATAGGTGGAGAGTTGCCCATATAGGCGGAGCTCCCTGTTTCTGACGTCAGAACAATTTCAAATCTGAATCAGCTCCGTTGCAGCCCCGTTTTTAGAGATTTGGGTATGGAGGAAAAGAGAGAGGGTTGTGTTTTCTGACACTTGGTGAGTTCCCTGACACACCGGGGACACATATTCATGTATAAAAGACGTACAAAAGTGCATTTTGCATGATAGGTCCCCTTTAAGTCATGTGACTGTATTTAAAAACAGGCGAAACTGTCCGCATGGCAGTCCAAAATAATAAAATGTCCCTGTCGGATTAGAGGCTGCACTTATTTCCATTATTCATTAATGGATATATTGAAATCATATGAAATCAGAAAGGTGTAATAATGAAACAAAAAGAGCCTCAATTATAAGAATGATTTTGTCTGATGAACAGTCCAACACCCTATAAGATTTAGCATGTATTTACATTTGTGAAGCTGGATCCAAACTGTTTTCAACTCTCATAACTGTACATCGTACATTTAAAAAGTACCACCACAAGTGTACATTTTTAATGCTGAGAATGTCAAGCTACCCCCACTGATGTTTAACTCAACCGATTAAATGATGTCTCCCCCCGGAGGTGCTGTGGCTTTAAAGAAACGTTTAGAGAACTGAGAATCCAATCTGCAAGAAACATTATCATTTCATTACTATTCATTTCAGGCACCTTAGTATTAATTATGATTAAGTACTTGGTGAAAATACCTAAACTAAATTATTAATAAGCTCACATACTCCATTTACCTTGGCTTTACAATAAGTCATATATCATCGACTATAAAAGTGAATTTACTTTGGTCAACGCATCCTAACAATCATGTCTGTCTGTCTAAATGCCTCTGACAGCCCCCCCCCCACTCACCGTATCCCACGGTGGGCAGGCCCAGGTGCTTCATGCGGTTCTTCACCAGCTCCGACAGCTCCTGGCGCTCTGAGCGTCGGTACAGGTTGAGTCTCTGCTGCGAGATGCGCTCCGCCCGGCTCGACGGCTTCACGTTCTTCCTGCTCAGCCGCCGCGCCCACTGCATGCTCTTCTTCCTCAGCAGCGGGTGCTCTGATTGGTCACTGGTGGTGGAGTTCCTGTGGGCCTTCTTCTCCTTCCAGGACTCTCCGCGCACTCGATGCTCCTCGCCCTGCGGCACGTTGATGGAATTCTGAGACTGGGAGGACAGGGAGGCGGTGTTAACGCTGGGTACTGAGAGTGTGTGTGTGTGTGTGTGTGTGTGTGTGTGTGTGTGTGTGTGTGTGTGTGTGTGTGTGTCAAATGTAATTCAATTAAAGGTTTTATTGTCATATGCACAAGGCTACAGTGTAGAATGGCAATGAAAATCTTATGACCTGAGCTCCTCCAACAATCCAACATATATAATAAAAAAATAAAAGTAGTGTGTTTTTGTGTGTGTCTGTTTAACTATATTATATATATATTTTTTAAGATGTACGGTATCTGCTGTGTCATAATTTCCTTTTAAATGCTATTTTCAGGTGCCAGCATTATCAATGTTTCATACTTGTGCTCTTTATGCAAAAGGTTGAGTGAAATATTCAAATTAAAAAGCATCCCACTCTTACCTGTGCATAACTGTCCTTTCCCTGAAACACGAGACAAACAGACATCCAAACAAAAATAAATGCAATGAAAGATGGGGGCATCCAAATCATGCAAAATTATCAAAATCAGAACAGTAAATAGCAAAAATAGAGATGTTACACTATCAAAATGGTCGGAAAATAACACAAGCTAGCATTTGTACATGTTCTCATGTGTTGTTTTGTATACTTGCAACTTATGTAACATGACAAATATTATTTTTAGACTATGATTTCAATTTCATCAAACGCACAGGCTAATGAAATATCTAAAGTAATTGGGGACTTCTTGTTAACAATGTATAATTAGGAAGATGATAAAAGCTAAGCGAGGAAGGCAGAACAGGCATTTCAGGAGAAGAGAAATGATAGCAGGAGAAAATGCAAAGCAAGGAAGAACATCATGATTCTTGTTGAGGTTGAGAAAGGAGAAGGAATGGACAAAACACAAAATGAGGGAATAAATAAATGAGCATTTGATCAAAGTGAACCTGCCTCTGAGGTGGAGAACATGTGGGACTCGGTGCGGTAGATCCCGATGGGGATCTCAGAGCTGGAGGAACAAAGCTTCTGGAAGAGTCTGCCATAGGTCCTGATCCACAGGTCCTCCTCTGTGATCTTCATCTGGGCATGGAGGGAGAGATTCAAAGAGATGCAAGCACAAACTCATTCACTCTCAAATCTAATAAAGTCTGAAGATACTTACAGCACAGAGGTACCCAGAGCCTGGCGTGGTGTCCAGACCCAGAAGAAGCCTCGCTATACCGATCATATAGTCCTTCACAAACGACTGTGGAAATAGAGAATGACTGCGGTGAGAAGAAAGTAAAACAAACCCAGACAAAGAAAACTCCAGCAACAATGACAGATATACATATTTTAATATATTGGGAGAATCAGACCTATTCAATTATTAAAGCAGATGCTCCCGTTCCCTTTTGCTAGACACATCTGTGTGGTCTATTGCAGGATTCTGGAGTCTGAATAACAATCAACCTTTTTATGTATATCTGTTTTGAGTCAGGGCAAAAGGATGTGTCCTTTGAAATATGAGACGTGCCAAAAAATCCCCTTTGAACCAGGAACATTTTTTTTTTCTAATTTTATTCCTTATTTCTTGTGGGTCTGTAAAAAGTTTTAGTGTTGTGAAGTGTGTATGTGGAAGTGTTTTCCATCCAGGACCCAGAGGGCAACACTTTCTGTAATCAGGTTTACCTTTGACATACAACTTGTTTAACTTACAGTAAGTATACTGGATATTATCAGAAAAAAGTTGTCATCAAAAATCCATATTTAAAAAAAGAAAATAATCTTATCCCTTAACCTGCTTCTGGGTTACTTGCTTGGCTGCACAGACATCTAAGATTGATGAAAACAATATATCATTTCTCACGATGAACCCCTATGTTTAACCTCTGAGGTCTTTCCATGTGATCCCACCTGGTACAGCAGTGTGTCCAACATGCTGATGCTGAACACCCTGCCTGCAGCGAAGGGCAGCCGGAACATGAAGGCCAGGTTGGAGCCCTTATCACGCTCTATCTGAAGAGAGAAACAAGAAGGTGTGAGGAAGAGAGCAACCAGATCATACTACCTTTTCCTGATATGTTTGCTGAACTATTGCACCATCTCCAAGAAGAAGTCATAATGAAAAAAGAAAAAGGCCTGTTTTTGAAAAGGTGGAGAGTGTTTTTTAAGTGGGAGAAAAACGACCGATGAGGAATTCAGAAAGGATTAAAAGACTTTGATCGAGAGTCAAGATGAAACTCAGGACCTAAAGTACTTCCTTCTGAAAATTGCAGGGGGAAGAGAAAATAACATGTTTACTACTAAAGACAAATCATAATAGCAAAATACATCTAAAGACTTCGCTTCAGCTCACTCCTATGTTCAAGAGTGATGTTTCACTGTGAGAGAGGAAAAACTAACAGATCCTTCAATCCCTAGTTACATTATATATTTAAATAATAATACAAATAATAATAATAATAACAATAACAAATGGTATTTATGTATTTGTTTTCCTAGGACTAAAACTCGCTTTACAAGTAAATCAAGATTTGTGTTTGAAAAAAAGTCCTAAATCACAATCTGGGTCTAAAAAATAAATAAAATGTATTTCTTTGGATCCTGAACTTTGAAAAATCTGTGACTTATTCAAACTAAAAATAAGTATTTGAACATACTTCTTCAGGTTGAATATCTTTTTTTTAAATTCAGTTTAGCAATGCTTTTCAATAAAACATTTTTGTTTGTATTCACTTTTATATATTACAGGCTATCTTCTATAAAAGCAGCTCTGATCTGCCTTTGGAAAACATTCACACAAGAAGACAAAGTGATAGCCAGCGAGTCTCAAGGTGTTCTCACTTCTCCACAGCTCACCTTCTCCAGTTTGGAGAGCGCGAGCGAGTAGCAGTCCTTGGCTCTGAACTGCATGAACCTCATGTTGGACGGGTGTGTGAGCTCCGTGATGATGCTGAGGCTGGGGAACAGCCTGGGATTAAACAGAGAGGGATGTTAACGCTTTGTGCTGAGGCAGTGATGGATGGTTTTAATCTCTGTTGCTAAGTAAAAGACTACTTTTAACAACAGTACTTTGTCTTAGAGATTAACTCATTCACCAAACTCTGACAAACAAGCATTTACTATAAAGGGAGTTGATCAAGTGGAGTCTGACACAACTACTACAACATGTTCACTGTGTGTTTGTACAAAAATGCTCCCGTGTTACCTAAACATAGTCTGGACGTTAACGATGGTCTTGGCGTCGGCCATGTAGTCCTCCTCAGCGCTCATGGTGCTCTCCTTGTCCACAACCACCAGGTTGTCGGCGTAGATTATTCCACACTGGAGCAGATTGTCCAAGCTGGTCCATTCACAAAACAACAGAGCTTGTTACGTCACGTCAGGAAATATCTGTCCTTAGATAGTATAACAATAATAAAACATACATCTGTAAAGTGCAATTTGTTCTAATAATTTGTTATGTTCACACACGTTAGGAAAAGCTGCATCAATTAATTAAAATAATTGAACGGGTTGCACAAAAAACTTCAGTTCTCATGTAGATTATAGTTGTTTCTAAATATTTACAGCTAGTACATTTTCCAGTGATGACTTGTGGGTATTTACAATGACATGGTATCACTAACATATGACCCTACACTTGATCAGAATGATTTCAATTGAATACCACAATATCTGAAATGATGAAGACACTAAATCACCAAATTCCACTGCAGAGGTTAGCATCGGAGGTGGATGTCTTTTTATGCTAAGCTACCAGTGACTCTGTAAACTTGGTATGATCTAGTTGCATACACGGACATCTTTATCAGGAGAAAGTTAAGTGTAATTAAATATGTCCCCCCTAAAACTGTTATTTTTGGCAATTATGTTCTGATGCAGTGACTTCCTGTTGACATAGCTGATTGCTTATGATGGGACGCACAACCAAACCGCACAGTACTGAAGTCTTTACTGAATAAGCTATTTTATGATTAAAGTTAGCAGCTTGCTACCAGTTACTTAGGAATTAGGAAGGAGTTTACACACAAACTTCATAATGGTTTTACAAACAGCTGGTGTACCCAATCCAGCTGTGCACTTACATTCAACATCTGCTGTCTGTGCTTTGTAATGGATTTTGTGCTTCTGATATCTGCAAACTTTGAGTTTAGGAAGCAGCAGCCTTTCTGTAATACCCTCATAATCCAACTCCTGTCTAGCTGTGCAGTTTTTATTTGAACATGACCTGACAATGTACTGTTGGATGGCTAAATGTTGGAATTTCAATATGCTGGGTCTACACATGCATGGTATTTAATAGTGAATCCTTCCTTTAACCAGACCCTGAAGCTATGTTTTGTGATTGCCAACACCTGCTAAGAATCATATTGCATTTTATTCATGATGCATGCGAGTTGAAATATTGCCAGTAGCTATTATAAAAATGGTAAAACTACCACCTGAAAAACATGAACCACTGAATGAGCTTATTAAGTGAGCAGTTTTTTTATGATCCAAAAACCTACTTATCGATGGTGCCAGCCATGAAGTAGACCATTGGAAAGCAGCAAATGGCCTCTAGGAAGTGGTTGTCTGGCCTGCGGGAGACAAGAAACATTATGATGCTCACACACTCATCATTTCTGTAAAACCCCGGAGACAGATGATGTCACTGATGCTGTAATTCATTTAAATGTGTTTGTGGATCAGGACAGGGCAAATGCTGTTTGAATTGTATTTGATGGTTTATTAGGCAACAAGAGGGGAACAGTATATGTTTATTCCTTAAATTCAAGGGTAGGATGTAACTGGTTGCTATGGAAACCCCTTAGGGTCTCACTATCATGGCTCTCTGTCTGAGCGGTTTATCAGTTTTAGCGCCGTAGAGATTTGGCCGAAGTTATTGATGCTTTTTTAGAACACACACACACACACACACACACACACACACACACACACACACACACACACACACACACACACACACACACACACACACACACACACACACACACACACACACACACACACACACACACACACACACACACACACACACACCACACACACACACACACACACACACACACACACACACACACACACACACACACACACACACACACACACACACACACACACACACACACACACCACACACACACACACACACACACACACACACACACACACACACACACACACACACACACACACACACACACACACACACACACACACACACACACACACACACACACACACACACACACACACACACACACACACACACACACACACACACACACACACACACACACACACACACACACACACCTCTTGAGAAAGAGAGGTTGTTTATGAATAATGCGAAATCCATTTCTTGTTTTATCTTAAAGCAAAGCTAACCAATATTTCTACTGAAAGCAATTTGGTTGCTCCAAATTGATAACATAAAAAAGCACTTCCACATGAGACCGCAAACAAATGCAAAAAATAAACACAAAAAGGTACACATTTTTTTTAAATAATAATAATAATAACAATGTTAACATATTTTGTTTTATATCTGGAAGCAAGGTTAACCCATATATTTCTACTGCACGTAATTCTTTCCGCAACTCTAAATATCCCCTGTAAAAAGGAGCAGATGATTTTGTACCTACGGTATGTCAAAATCTCAAATAGCAATTATTTGTTTTACTACCACTAATCATTTATCAATAATAATGTAGAATTATTGTTCATTAGTCTACTAGCAAGATACTGGTTTAGGTACATGTGTAAGGGGCACATTACTATGTGGGTTTTTGAAGTTATTGTGGAAATGTCAGTGAGTTTACATCCCTGTAGGAGTAAGAACAAACGTACAGGACGGTTACAAGTCTTACGGGTAGTCCAGCAGCAGCACTATGGGGTTGAGCTCCTTCCTGGGCCGATAGTAGGCGCGCAGAGGGACGATGAAGTTGTAGAGCCCGTTTCCCGCCGTCTCTGCAGACACTATAATCAGCTTATTCTTGAAGCCGTATGCTTTGGCATCCTCAAAGCTGCTGTGTGTGCAGCCCTGACAGACAGACAATCAGAGAGGGAGTCAGTCAGGTTTAAGATAAGAAGTGAAAGTGTTTGTGGTTTATTTGTGAGCTGTTTTTATTCTTTTTTTCCCTGCGTTTAAATTTACCTTGTCGAGACGAAGGCAGCAGAATTGAGCTTTCTGTGGCAGGAGGTGGCACAGAGTGGGGGAGCTGCCGATGTAGGGTGAGTTGGGAGGGTAACCCTTCACAAAACTGTTGGTTAACAAACAAGAATATCAGGGGGAAAAAACAGCAAACAATACAGACTTATTGTGCAGATACCTTTTTGTCAAATTTCCACTAGAAATGACCATCTCAGAACTGAGTATCCTTCCTCTCCACATTTATCAAAAAACAGTCGCTTAAACACATCTTATTAGTGTGGATTATTATTGAAAAACTAGCTATACACGAGGGTATAAAGGGAGTATAACTGCACAGCTCTTCACTACTTTCATTATTATTCTATCATTCTCATTTTGTGTTTGCATCAAGTGTCAATTTGGTTCTGTGTCCTTAAATCAGTTTCACAATGCCCTCTAGTTTACCGATAAAATAGATTTCTATAAGAAGCATCCACAGCCTGATCGCCACATGGGGGCACTGTGAGACCTTGAGCAGCTCAGTGTGTTTGCTGCAAACTTGATCTCCCTTACTTCTGTGTCTGACATTTCTTTAAAGAAGACACAATGTCATGGGGCGCAGTTTTAGAGGCTCAGAGGTTAGGAGGACTATGTAATGTCCAACCTTACGAGACCCAATAATGTTCAAAAATAAATGGGCTGAGGTTCAGAGGCCCCGATCTGTCCTGAAGGTAACACATAAAGGAAGAATAGAATATGCAGATAGCCCGATTCCTGGCTGAATTGCTACCATGGCGACTGGTCAATGAGCGTTGAGGGGTGAGGATCAATGCAAGGACACACAACAGTAGACATCACTCGAGAGGGGAAAGTGCTGACCCTCCCCGTCATGACACACACATTCATCACAGCCATGTCCGTACTTTACAGCCTCATGACACACAGATTACACACCTATTCCAAACCCATCAATCTCTCCTCCTACAACCACTGAGACGTGACAAAGAGCAAGAGGGCAGGAGACATCAATCAAGAGATACAAGCCTCCACAGTGAGGACATTTCACTTTTTTTTTTTTTACAGCCACCAACCTTCCGAAACCAGCAAGTCTCTGCATCAATATCACTTACTCTGAGCCTACGGATCCCTCCTCGTCTGATTGATTGTTCTCGTCCTCTGATTGGTCGCTGAGGAGGTCGCAGGGCAGGATGGCGGAGGAGTCCGCGATCTCCAAGACGGGCGCGATGCTCGGCCGGCGGCTTCCAGCGCCGTTCTCCGTCGGCAAGGTCAGCTTGCTGCTTTCCTCGGGAGGACTGGGGTTCTGGAGATCAATGGCCACAGTGCCTGGAAATAACACAGGGTTATGTTTGCTCCGCTAACTACGCAGTCATTCAGACACAGCATGTGCAGCACTCTCACTGTAATGATATGTCAACTGTGAACCCATAACCATTTTATCTCAGAGAACACTGAAGGCCTGTTCATTATGTGAAGTAAATAAGGTCCATGTTAAGACATACACAAAGAAACACACACACACACACACACTTAGTTGACCTTGAGGAACAAAATGATTGCTTTCTGTATCCTGCGACTGTACTTGGGCTTTAAAAACAGCATGCAAAATCTATTGACATTGTGTGATTGTCAATAAATCCTTAAAAAATACATCATATTTGGCTGTTATATGATGTATGATATATGCATTACATATATCAGGCATATCAGATACATGGTATATGCAAAAACACATATATCCTTTTTTTTTTTATGTAATAATGGGATTTTGTTTTTTAAAAGACAGTGAAAATAAAAACTTGTATAAACTGTATATCATAGTAACATTTCAAAAATGTCTACTGGTATTTCAGTGTTAAAAAGTGATGCATCATGCACAAACTTACCATATGCAGTGGCCTGATCAACTTTCACAGGTCAAAGAAAAAGCACAACACAATAATGTCAGCCAAGAAAGTAAAATAGGCATGTAAGAAAGAAGTCATGCATAACAGTCAGCGGAAGCATACAGCATCACCAAGGCAGCCAGCACTCACAATCTCTCATTGTGAGTGCAGTTCAGGGTCAGAGAAACACAACAAAAGCATCCACTTTCTCTGCGGACATGGAAAATCTTTCAACCAAACAAATGTGAAACCGTCTACAACTCGCAACACTACAATCATCCTCAATCTTCCTTTCATTATCGACTTCTAAAAAGATGTTTCTGCCCCTGACTCTCGGTCTCACCCATGCTGGCGATGATGCTGTGCACGGGCAGCCTGGAGGGGGCGTCATAGAGGCCGCTGACGGGTATGCCCTTGTTGTGCTTCTCTTCCTGTTTGAAGATGAAGGCAGAGTTCTCCTCCTTGGTGATGTTGATGTAGTAGCAGGTGTCGGGGGCGGCCATGATGTGGCGGGGGCCGGGGTTCAGGAGGATGCTCTTGTTGTCCTCCCTCTTCACTCCGATTAAACACACACCGTACCTGAGGGGTAAGACAGGTATGCAAGGTTTAAAGTCTAATGATATCACTGTAATGTGTCGGGATTAAACTAGTGGACGTTTTTACTAACTTCTTGTGGGCGTGGAAGGATGCGTAGGTGAAGCTCTTTCCATCATATTCCCCAAAAAACTTGCTGTCACACAAGCGGATGTGGTAGACCTCGTTTCCAGAGCAGCGTCCGTAGATCCTCTGCCACTGCTCCGGGGACAGCTGCCCCTCCCTGAAACAGCATTATCATATTATATACTGCTTGAACCACAGAGACACAAAATGTCTGATTCCTACAATGAACGAATGAACTGTTGGCCAAACAACAGTCTTGTTAGGAAAAAGTATGGCTTAAAAGTAATTTACATATGCCGTTACTAATTCCCCAGATTTGAGCTGAACTAAAAACCCATCGGACCTTTTCCAAGCCACATATCATTTTCACATTTTTTTTTTTAAAAAGTACTTTCAAAATAAAAAAACATCTTTAAAAAATAAATAATAATAATAAAATGTACAATCAGTTCTAATAAAATTACATTTTAGTTATAAACAGAGGCCTCTACAATAATAAATACACATTTCAGAAGTTAAGACCAGAGTTTGTGGCTGGTAGTATTTGTTAAAATGAAGTTTGCAATAAGTCAGGGCAGGTTCAGGATGCGCAACTATTAAAACCCAAAGACCGGCATTACACTAGGAGCCAACACGTGATATGAATAACTTTAAACTCCATTTGACAGCAGACTAAAATGAATTGGAAGAGGGAAATGACTAAAGTACTAAAGAATGAGGGACGGCCACACAAAAAGAACTATAACACACTTCAGACTTTATTTGGTACCTAACAGCTTTCATTTCCACAATCTGGTTGACCTTTTTGAATTGCAATTTATTTATGCAATTCATGTCCTTCATAACCTCTAATCAAAGTGATAATGTTTATATAGCCACCAGCCAAAAATAAGTCCACCCACATTCCCTATCACCTTCACAGCCCCTCTGCAGCTTCCCCTAATGGAAATAAAAAATTGATGTGCCTCGTTTCTGCTCAGGACAGCAGTGAAGATATAGTGGCCACCTTGCACAGAATATGAAAAATTCAGACCGATTTATTGCCGAGCAGGAACTTTGGTGACGTAAACTGACTGGACAGTAAAAAGTTTCTCCAGAGGCTGACAGTACAGTATTCAGCTCTGCAGAGACACACACCAGGTACAGTCTGTAGGACTGTAAACAAGCTGCTGTCATCTTTGTTTCTATCAATCATCCAAGCAGAATTGAATCTGTCGACAGGAATGATTACTCAAAGAGATATTGAACATTAAAAGAGCACTCAAAGTAAGATGAGTTCAACGTTTACTTAACAAAAACTTTTCTTGGAGGTTGAACTGCTTTAGAAGCATTACTAATGAGTCATTGGTTCGTTTTAATCTCAATGAATGGAGCCAAGGTACAAAAGTAATGTTAGGCTGAGACGAGGTCATCTTCTCTTGCTATTGTTTCAAAAAAATGAAGCAAAAACAAGTTAACAACATCTCTAAGTGGCTTTGCTGATTTCTTCAAAGCTGGGAACACTAATGACAGTAAAAACAAAACAAATGTTTAAAGGAATTGTTCAACTTGACAGAGTTTCACCGCTTTCCTGCTGCAAAAATGTGAAAATATTAATACTTCTCTCATGTGCACAAGACGATGAAGCCAGGATAGTTAGCTTAGCTTAGCTTAGCATAACCACTGGAAACAGCCTCTCTATTAGCATCTCTAAAGTGTTACTACATAGTCTCTTGTTTGTCTAATCCATTCAAAAAACAGTTTGTAGGCAAAATTGTTCGCTTTGGACAAAGCAAGCTCTTTCTCCTCCATTTCCAGTCCTCATGCTAAGCTAAGCTAGCCGTTGCATTAAATCTAAATGACAGATACTAGAGTCCCATAATTTTGATCATCCAACTCTTGACAAGCTAGTCTTATTCCTCAGAGGTAAACATTCAAACAATTCGATTACTTTGGCTGCAAGACCACATTCCTCTATTTGATAACTAAATATTGCAATACAACATAGTAGGCTATAGCAATACAGTACATGTATAGCATTTTGTCGAGATCCAGAACCATAATGATAACTTGTACAGTTATAAAAAGGATATTCTGACTGTGGCTGTCACTGTAAATCCATAATTGCTAATGTTAGTAGCAGTAATTGTAAAACAGTAGCGTGTACTCACTGTCCTCTGGAGGTGTGAACCAGCAGTGTGACCAGGGTAGACGTGGCGGGACACACACAGTTCAGCGCCAACATGGCATACTTGAACTCCTCCTCACATACTACATGATCTGATTGAAAAGGATAAATCGCAACAATACATTACATCAAACTTAAAACAATTATGCGTAAATGACTTTGTTTTGGCAGGTTGGTAGCCTTTTTGCACTTACCTGCAAACTTAACATGGAACTTATTTTCAGGTTTGAGAATTTGGACGTACAGAGGGCAATTTGGAGCAAAATCTTTTGCAGCCCAAGCCCTCAAAATAGTCTGGTGATCCTGTGGGAGAAGAAATAGCTCCGTTTCATTCACCCAGTGGCTCATTTGTAAAAGCAATCTGGATTTGATGGAGCATAAAGTTGCCTCAGTGACTTGTGTGTGAGCTCCCTAATCTCAATGGCAGGTACAATATAATCACAACATTATTTGAATATCTCAAACCCTCTCGGCTACTGTATAATGGAAGGAGAGTGTGAAGGGAAATTGCTCCGTTCAAATATTGTTATACAAATACTGCTCCCTGTAGATTAGACTCACAGCAGCAGTTCGGTCGACCTCATTCCTGCTGCTGAGGATGAAGCAGGCCTCAGCATCGTCCATCCTGAGCAGAGAAACAGAGGAACAGAGAGAAACACAGGTTAGGGAGGAGAACATTCAACCAAACGTTAAATTAAATATCTACGGAGATCAATGCTTTAAAAAAAAAAAAAGCTACGAGTGCTAATGCCCTGTGACGAAGGCTGAAAAGGTTAAGCTGCATTCTAGCATGAAAACCATCTGCTGTTGTGTGACATCGGAGCGTACTGTCAGCAAAACGCAAGGGGGGAAAAACTCATATGTTCTCTAAACGAAAATGTTTCAGCATGGCATGGCTGATCCTTCCATTAGGCTTACCTGCGCGGGTGATTTTATTGATAACATATCAGTGGGTGAAATTGCCATAAATGTGCATCACCTGCACAATTGTGCACATTGAAGAGGGGCTCAATGGAAAAGGGTCCGGCCTCCTGGACAGATTCATGATTTACAATTCACGCTGTTATACTGAGACACCATTCCACTGGCATCACATTATAAGCTGCAAAACGTCTGAAAGCCAAAAGCAATCTCCCCTGAAGCGATAGTAAAAGCCTGAATGGTGGTGCAGTATTTTGTAGGTACAGAGACAAAACTAACAGGTCGCACAGCTTCCGATGGGATCCATCACGGTACATTGCTGCCTGTCTTAGGTGGCCTTTGATGTGAGCAGATGATCAGTGTCGAGTGAAATCCCATTACACTGATGTGCAGGCAGAGGGCAGTGAAGTTAACTTGTAAGTACCTCATCCTCCATACGCACTTCAAGGACATGGATTTGCCAGTGGGGGACTTAAACTTTCCATTTACATCTAAAGCAATTTGAACATTCTTATTAACAACCTAAAATGAATAGAATCTAGATGATGTGCTAGATTTAAAGTCAAACCTCTCAAAGACATGACAATCCCCTCTTAATGGCAGACATTAACATGGTGCCAGGTTCCACAGTGGGATTTTTCGACTGAAATGCCATTTTGTTTTATTTCATTCATTAAAATCGCACGTGTGCAGAAATTAAGAGGTGTTGTACCAGGCTCTACCAACCAACCAACCAACCAACCAACCACCAAGTGCATGTATGCAGTTTTATAAAGACAGTTGGAACGGCACATCATCTTTTATGTGGAAACAACATACAGTAGTGTATTTTTGTCCGTCTTTATGTCTTTGTGCTGGTCTGAAGGTAAGCATGCATGCCACGTTTTCACTCACTTGGCCCTCATCAGGTCCTGGTCTTTCAGGGCCGATCCCTGCAGGTAGATGACCCTCTGGGACCATAAAGGGATTTGCAGGATACGGCGAACCTGAATGTCTATCTCTGTTGGACACAGGATCACCACATAGTAGTCCTGAAAAACATGGGATATACATCAATTTGACTTAAATCACGCTGCAGGTTTTATTTTATGTGTGTGGGATTGTACATTAAGCATTTTACTTCTTCAGCATATGTCATTTATGTGGAAAATTCCCTTCATGCATCTGTCCTGAATAAGTCAATTTTATTATCTATAAATCTACAGTCATTATAGTCCTGCTTGCTGCATAACCATTCTTATTCTGAAAGTAAAAAGCCTCCTTTAGGGGTACTTAAATATGACTACATAGTTAACTCCCTGAAATGAAATCCACTGTGTTGGTACCTGTAGTCTGGGATGAGCGTAGAACTCGTTGAGGAAATCCATCAGGAGGTCAATTTTCAGCGAGCTGACACACAACACCACGTGCTTCTCCGTCTGCGCCCGGTGGCGGCTGTAGTTCCCTCCTAACTTCTGGCTCTCCATCCACAGGTATGCTAGTTCTTCAAACTGACACAATGGTAACAACATTGACGTGATGTCAAATATAACAAGACTGAGATTAATAATAAAAGAAAGATAGATTTTCTGTCTGGACACAGACTCTAAAGCAATAGTTTGCCAGCAGCAGGAGCTCATTCCTAACTACTATCCCTCACCCTCTATCTCTGCAGTGACAGGTAACATTTAAAATGATGGACCCGTTTGTTATCTCAAGCAAGTAGGTAGATTTATGCAGCTAGAGTGAGACAGAATGACCTTTCTGAGCACTTAGTTAAATGTTATATTTGATGCAGCAAGTGATGGCTTAATATTGAATGATATCCCCTGAAAGGTGATCAGTACATCAGCAGCACATCGTGAGAAACTCTGATGAAAAGACAGGGTCTGTTGCTAAAATGTGAATCCCCTCACTGCACTTTGGGAACAAAACAGAGTTGAGTTTGCCTTACAGGGTCATTACCTGCAGTGGGAGAACCACCAGGGCAACACAGATGAGAATGACCACCAGCAGCTGGGAGGGCCAGATTTGTGGCGTGACATCCCCGTAGCCCACTGTGGAGAAGGTGACGATGCAGAAATAGAACGAGTCGAACAGGGTCAGGCGCTTCCCGGCTCGCTCTAGATGCTGGATCCCACAAGCTCTGCAGAAAGAAGAGACATCATACTCAATGATCCTCAATACAGACATGTCTCCTATGGGTAAAGATCATTTGAATGTGTATCCTACAATGTTAGTGTGTTTTAGCCTCGCAAACTGGATATCAAATCCAATTTGCTGAAGTTTAAAGAGCATCAGAGTAAATATCAGTTTTTCAATTAAAGTGACAGCATTGATTGCGCTGTCAGTTCCAGCTCACTGCCTGTGACAATTCATTTGTGATGGAGATTGAATGAAACCCTGAGGCTCATGGGAGTTGAGATGTCTCAGTGGAAAGAGTAGAGAGGCTGCTGAGTGATGGCCAAGGCACAGTGATTCTGTTGAAGAGCTAAAGGTCAGCTGAAGCAACAGCTTTGATTCAAATACATTTGAGTTATAAAAGGGTAGATCAATGAGACATAAGACATAAAGAAGGATGGGTTCTTCTCTTAATCTAACACCTTTACTGCTATGTTGTCTTGTTGATAGTGTTTTTCACATCGGCTCAGTATTTTATTGGTCACAATCGTTCAGAATGCAAGATAACAAATGAAATTATTTGCGTTATATTTTTTGAATATTTTTGTAATTACAATTTGCTCTTTCCAAGCACATCAGGGGTCTTCTGGGATCTTAAAATGTCTTAAATTGAATTGTATGAAATGTAGGCCTAAAAATGTCTATTGTAAATTAAATACTTAAATATAATAGAATAAAGGCTCTGCAATAATCAAGGTTTGTCAAAAAGTTTGGTTTTCTTTAGCTAAAATCATATTACCCTTGTACTTTTTAACATAGTCAATAAATTCACACATAATCCTAGGAACTAGTTTCATTCATAGGCAGCTCATTTTACTTCTCACTTCTTCCAGCATGACCTCAAAATACAATTGGGTATTACATTACATTCCAACTGGCTTCATAATATTAGCTTACTTACTCTTTACATTATATTTGTTAGGCTTTTTCATGGTATCTTTCAGTTAAATGCTATCTTGCCAGAAATTCTGTGCCAAAAGCACGTCTGCTCAATAGCACTACATTTTAAATCTCTATTATTATAACATGTATAGCTTTTTCCAAATATTCTCAGGCTAGCGTCGACATTCACAATACCTTCTGCACTAGAGATAATATTTTCTGGGTCATGTTGTACACAGCTCAGAAAACAGTGTGGGTCAGTAAACTGGTCTGAAAACTGTAATGGTCAGAGATGCATGTCTGAAGAAGAGAGGCTCACTCACCCGGTGAAAACCAGACACAGTAATGTGCAGATGAGGATGAACACCTGGTTGAACATGGCAGAGTGAGTCCTCTGGATGGCACGATGGAAGTCATTCTGGACAAAAGAAGAGAGTTCATTGTAACCATATCCAGACCAATGAGTGCAACATTAGAAATATTTCCAATCTAGATGACCAATTATAACATTGAGAAGTCATCAATGCAATTTCAATCAAAACTTAAGTCAAACATTACTAGAAAAAGTGAGCTATTGTCTTGACCTTGAAGATGGACTGGATACAATTTACAAAAATCTGCCATACATTGTTCAAACACAATCTTTATCCAACAACACTGTCCCCCCTTTTTACACCATATTGTACTTCCTGCTAAGCCATCTTGAAAGCTCATGAGCTCACGACTCATTTTCAGTTGGACCTTGTTAGCATGTTCTGCCTGCCACCGCCTCCCCAAATGTCCTTGCTTTCTCTCCATGTGCTGCGCTGCTTGGCCTCAGATTCTACCATCTGCCAAACTACCGCTTTGGCATGAGGCTCTTACTGTCATGGCCTCATCCGAATCACAGCGAGACAACACACTACACCAGTTGGATATCATCAAATAGCTTTGAATTCCATGTACCAGTCACTTTGCACCTATGGTTAAACCTGGACAATAGTAACACTGAAACAGCAGGTTTATGTGCACCTGGCGTTTGTATCCCTGCTGTGCTTATGCTACAAGTGTTAGGTGTTTTTTTTCTGTTTGTTTTCCTCATGCACTTGACACTCTTTTTTTGAATTAGGCTCCCCTGTTGTTTGCTCTGCTTTCGTTTAAAAAAAGTGTTGTGGTCTCCCCTAAAAATAGTTTGGGGGAAAATATATTTTTTCCAGACCAAAATATAACTGATCTCTGTCAGGGCAACATACTCTCATCTGACCTGGCAACACAGATCATTAGTGTGTCAAAATGTAAAAGCAAGGTTCGCTCAATAGTTAGTTTGAATATCTAATGTTAACCCCAATCAGGAAACAGGATATACCATTTCATACAGTTGTTCTCACTTTGATATAGAACATATTTAGTAATAGTAGCTCTCTTTATATCCATACAGATACATAACTGAACAAAATGCTTTTAATAAGGATGTGCCTCTGTTCCATCTAAAACTAATCACCCATAATAAACTCATTGAATTTCTTTTTAATCTTTTTTTTCTTTTTACAAACAGTTAGCTTTGTTAACCTGAGAATGTAGTTGTGTTGGTGTGATACCCAATAACTAGCCAGCAGGCTAACTTATCGAAGTAGCCAGCGCTAATGCAATATTACACATCTATGTATTTAACAACACTAGCTTCAAAAGCATACATTGACACATTGGTTCACAATGTTAGCTCAATTAAGTTCTCTTCATACAGCTTGATTGTATAATCCCATTTAGCTCTCATAGCCAGCTCTCTACTATAAGGGTATCCAATATGGCCACCACAAGAAAGATAAGTACCATCGAAGCCCTCAGAGATAAAAGACAAACAAACATGTTCTGTGTGCTCTCTTTTATGTAATACAGCAACAGTTTGCACAATATAAGAAACACATTATTGCGAATACTTACAATCATGTTCTCCAGGGCACCTTTGGCTAGCCAGCAGTTGAGAAATACAGGAACGAATATGTTTCTCAATGGACACCAGAAGATCTTTAGGAAGGAAGAAAGGTGTAATACATCAATGGAATAAAATCACAAATATAAATCATAATACAGGAAAGTCAATGAAGACAATTAATATGCCCTTGGATGAAAGATGGTACACATGAAACCAAAATGACCTTGATCATGCATTAGTAAATCCTTTAATGGACCATATTGATTGCCAAGGCGTTCAAATAAATAACTTACTGTGATTATAAATGGCACTGAATTGATCATCTCCAATATGAAGGAAATCTGGAAGATCTGCTCCCAAATGTTACCCTGGAAAGGAATGATGGAAAATAATGAATTGAACCATTAGAGCGCAGATGGTTTTGGAGAGAAGTGTAATACCAGAAATAATGATGATAACAATAATAATAATACATTTAATTTCTAAGCGCTTTTTTTTCCAGGCGCTCAAAGAGATAACAATACCATAAAACAGGCAAGAGGACAACAGATTATTATGTTGAGTTGTAAATCCCACCAATTAAACCTGCTTCTTTGATATTAATATTTTCAGTATTGATCAGAGTCTATAAAAGCAATAATGGAGAGGTCAGTAATTAATGTTGGGTCCAGAAACAACACTTCTCATTGACCTGTTTTTTTCCCAAAAAATTGCTTGTTTTTATTGCATGACAATGGTGCAGACACTTAATTATTATCACAATCTTTGTTATTCAAAATCACAACAAAATGTCTCCAGATTGTACGACTTTAATGTTCAAAGTGAACTCTGCAAAGTATGCTTAATGTTCTACTGTTGCTTTTATGTTCTCTGAATGAAGTTAATTAGTTCCCTTGCATAACTGGAATATGAATGATGTAATTGGTAACGCCTAGTTCTAACAGCACATCTAAAAAAGCCAAGATCATACAACAAACAATAAAATATGACTGCCCCCAATCCACGGAGTGAGACTGACTACAAATCCCATATTGAGTGCACAGCAGAGTTTGAAATGAGCTGTTTGGTGGTGGCTTCTATGATAGAGCTATTAAAAAGCTTGGTAGGGAAAAATAAAAGCTTGAAAACGTTTTACAAGGCTAAATTACATCATCAGAAAAAAAAAAGAAAATGCAGTCCTGATCTTTCAAATGATAGCAAACTATGCTAGGGCTAGCTGAAACAATTACATTAACCCTTTTGCATTTTTTCTTCCTGTACAGTAGTTGTGGTTGTGCTAATGTTGACGTTAGTTTGCTAAGGATATAGCATACTGCAAAGAGTTTTGCTCCTTAATATTACAGTTATACAAAATAAAGTGCTGTTTTATCTTGGTGGAGGTTGTGTGGTGTGGATGTGATATAATACACTACTTTGATTTATTAATGATAAATGAAGTGCTAATGCTAAATATACCAGAGCGGCATGTTAACATTATTTAGTAATATAGCATCGAGCTAGGCGCACAGGATTTTAACTGTAATAAATATTTTTTTCCACAATGGATCTCAGTAACCGGATGTTTGCTTGAGCTCTGCACATACTTTTGGAACCATTTCATACATTTTTGTATGGTAATATTGTGGGTTATATTTCTAGTGTTACTGGAATAAGTTACATTGCAAGGTCTTTTTAAATATATGTGTCCACCTCATTAAAAGACACATTACTGTATATGAAAGGGAAAAAACTCCCTCTGCCTTTGTGTGCTCATTAGCAGTAGAGGAATATCACACAAAGACTGCCCTTTTCTTTTTGTGAAATCTTGAGTTCATTACGATAAAAGTCTGCTCTTTAAATACGTAGTATATACGCACCAAAGTGCACCTTTAGAGGAAGCTCATGAATCAAAACAGCACTTCCAGCCCTGCAAACTAACTAGTCCAAAATGATTGTAAAAGTCTTCTGGCCCTGTGTCTTGAACAGCTTGGCCTCGGCATTGGCACTTGGACTGGACATTAAGAGGTGTGTGCCGGTAAGAGAGAGAACAGACTGTGTGCCGGACTTTGATCCGACAGCTGTAAGACATCAGCTCGGATTAAAAAGAAAAACTGTCTACTGTGGATGGACCCTTACCTTGTAGCTGAGATATGTGATTAGCATGGTCTCCAAGAAACTGATTAAGGCCACTGTCACCTGCAGCAAAGGGGAGAAGGAGATTAATGAACCCAGCAACTGCAAACTCATGTCTTCTGGCTGCTCAACCTAAATGCAAGGCTTTTAGCTAATACATGGCTGCTAGTGCGTTGGATTGAATCCTGCATTAAGCCTCATTTCATGCAGGGGAATTTGATTTATGTGCACTTTCATTGTTATGTTATCCGCCTCACCTGTATCGCCCATACAGGTTCCCGTCTGGTAACCCAGAAAATCACACACCTGTCAAAAACCAGAAGACGCTTTATGTCCAGGTAGACAATAAACTCACTTCAGTTTAGAATTAAATGCCATTTTGATCGAAACATACCAGTTGATATCTGCCGAGTCTGCTGTACTGTTATTCTGACATTTTGCACTGTAGAGAAAAAAAAAAGTGAGAACGTGTGTGTGGATGTGAGTGGAAGCACACCCGCTGGGAAACACTCCCATCAGTTTGTATGTTGCAATAAAGAACAAACTCAACGTGTGTATAAAGGCTGCTGGCAGTAAGAGGAATACAAATAATCCACCACTTTCAAATGACTGCACAGGGAGAACAACTCGCACGCACCAAAAAAACTAAAAACTTCCTCAAGCAATCAAATTCACACAAGGGAATTCACTTTAATGTGGTTTTAGGAGTAAATCTCAAGTAAACGTCTCCCCCTTAGACATATTAGAAGTGTTGAAAACAAGATTTGCATATATATTGATGTTCTCCGCTCTCAAGATATCGTTCACATTTGTTGCTATTTGGACATGCCAACTGGAAGATATTCCTGGAAAAATCCACTGGCATACGAAAAGTCATCTGGTTGGTTTGGAATAAGATAACAGAGAAGAATGAATAAAAGGATACATAATAGAGATGGATTAGAAGATAGCAAAAGGAGCAAACACTGCTTTCTGAAGCAAGATATAATCAAAATGTATAACTGCAAATCAGCAAATAAAAAGCAACTATCAAAACATTTGGACAGAAATGGTGTAGGAGTGTGACTCTCACCATGGGTCGCCGTTGACATCCTCGCGGTCATCCAGACTCACTCTCAGTACGTAGAGGGCACAGGTGAGGATCTTCAGTGAGAAGTTAAACAGGCGGATTCTCAGGCCTGTGGACCAAGACATGTCGTTTCATATGACTCAAAAACTGATGGAAGTGATGATCACCGGAAAATGAGCTTGTTTAAATATCCGGTGTTTTTGTCACAAACTCTGTCATTGTGTTCCAACAGGAGACTACAGATGCAACTAGATTGTCACTGTTTTAACACTAGTTTGCTTGCTTAAAAACTTCTCGAGTGAAAGGCCAAAAGACACGGGATCTGTAGAAGCCCTGAAGCATTACTAATGTAGTTCTATGCTGCTCTGGCACCCTGTCACAACAAATTTCCTCTCACGCATAGCTTCTAAATCCTCCAAGAATAACACATAAAAACACCGGAAATGTATGGGCTTCTCATATGAATAGGAGTACAATTGGAAGATAAATGACTGGTGGGATTGCACAGAAGTTATAATGCTTGTGGAATCATCATTTCCTTTTTGAGTAATTAACTGATAAGCACACACCACTTAATGTGCAGAACTTGGCTGCAGACATGCTTGCTAGGCAGCGGGGGGTGCTAGTTGTATTAAACATTTCACATCAGCCTCTGCAGCTACCTAATCTCTCGTGACACAACCTCTCCAGATGAGGCCAGAGTCAATGGTAAAAGGATTGGAAACTAGGTAAACAAACAGCAGAATTGCAATGGCATAGAGCAACAGACCCCTGCAGCCATGTGCGACATTTTCATTAGAGCCTGTCGTTTTCTGTCAAAGACTGTGGCGGCTGAGCGACAATGACACGTTGAGGGGAAGACAGCAGTGTCAGTGCTCAGGATATGTCAACAACATGCTCTACCTGAGACACAGAGTTCCTTTAATTATATTTTAAAACTGGATGCAAATGAGCATCTTTCAGACACAATGCACCAAGCTGCACCATTTTTTTCTCTCAGATGTTGTCTTATCTTCTATTGAGAAAAACACTGCAGTGCTGCCTCCTTTCTCAATAAATGAGCCACACTCTCTGTCCTTGCTGGGCCACAGTGCGCACACATACATATACGATATATTACAATGAGGAAACTAATGTAATTAACAAACTAAACTGAGGCAGGAACGTTATAATGCGCCATCACCGACAGCAGTTTCCCTGATTGTATTTGTTAATGTAGCTGAAGGGTGAAGGGAGGAGAGGGAGTGGGATGTTCCCTGGTGGATGTACTTACTTGACCTTTGGTTTTTGATGAAGAAAAGCTTCAGCCTCTCCTTGAAGGTGTTTTCATTCACATAGAACTCCACCTGCACCCTGTTGGGGGGGGGGGGGGGGGGGGGGGGGGGGGGGGGGGGGCAGTGATATGATGTTAGTGTTAGTCTACACAGATGATGCATATACTAAGCATAAGCTGTTAATTATATACACAAAGAGAAGAGCAGAAAACATTTAATCAAACAGTGTCAATCTTTCCATAGTGCTTTATGATCAGGTGTGAGACAAAGCAATGCATTTGCACAGGTATTGCTTTGTTCAGTAAATGTAACAACATGTGATCCAGGCACATTTACATGTTCGCATTCTGGGTACAGGTGCAGGATAATACCCACATTTCAGTACTGATATATATAACTGGTTTGAATGATATAATATAATACATATATTACACACAGTTTTTTTTTAAATCTTTTGTCAGAAAACTTAATCCACAAGAAATAACCAATGCTATTCATTCATTTGTTTAGATAGCTTTTGCTCAACTTTTCCAGCTGTTAAGGGAATGTTTTCACCCATGCTCAATTTCGAAATAGCGTGAGATTGACCTATTTTTGGAATACGGTATTTCATTTCTTTGATAACAATAAATACCATTTCAACCACGTCCTTCATCCAATCAATCTTACAAGAAACGTGTCATATAAAGAGTCCAAAACGTTTGATTTGGAAAAAGAACATATCTCCTCAAAGAATGAAAAACAACAATTTGACCAACCCTCGATGGTGGCTTACATCTCAGTACATATTGTACACAATAAAGTTTTGGGGTTCAAATCCCAGCATTTGATTGCATCCTGCAGTTTGACATGTATTTCTTGCGAATCCTGGCAAATCTTGAAAGAAACATTTGTAAAGATAATTGTGCCAGTGCCATAATTGTGTTTGTTGAAGCTTTCCAGTAAAAATAACACCAACCATTTGCATTGTGGGAATGTACTGCAGAAAAAAGCTGTACAAGTCTTATTCCATTACCCTCCATTTACTGCCAGTAATTACGCTGTCTACAGTTCCCCTTCTCAATGCGACAACCAGCAACAGATGAATATGATCTTGAATTTTAATGTGCAGCATTTGTAGTTGTTAAATATTTAACATTATTACATAAGCCATATTTTCCCACACACATTCTCTTAATGTTGCACTAGCTGCGAATCAAATGCACACTGTGGGGACATGACACATAAGCCAAGGTAAGGGTTTTAATTGCTCCCCTGGGACATTAATCACAAATGATCAATTAGTGCATGAAATAGGCACCGAGGAGGGTTTAATCATTTAGAATTGCTTGTAATATTAATATACATATTTGTACCAAACCACAGTATTCTAGATGTTGTTTACAGTTTGGAAGAAAGTCAGTTTCCTTTGGGTAAAACGTTTTCCTTCACTCAAATCACGAGACAGCATGATTAATATCACTTACATTAAAGCGTCCATTAACAATTGAAAATCACCTCCCATTTAAAATGATACTGTATTATATCCACGGCTGTCTTTCTCACATTGAGCAGATATAATGACATTTAATTAAGTTTGGGAACTTGACCAAACGCCCACTTAGGCACGGAAGATGATGTAGCTGTCGGTAAAATGTAAGGTAGGCTTATTAAAACTTTCTATAATAGCGGCCTCTCAGGAAGTAACAGCGGCTTCTCAGTTTCAGGAAGGACCTTTACATCCTTCTTCTTTGTCTGACACAATGAGATCAGGGTGCAAAGAAAGAGAGGAGAGAGCAGGGGGGGGCAATTACAGCAGCCAAGACCCAAGGGCGGTACGTATGTGTAGATAAAGAGAGTAGGTGGAAGAAAGAACATTAGATATGCACCATCTTCCAGCTAATCCCCTCCTTTCCTGCTTCATCGCCATGGAGACAGCTTCTAAGGCAGGAAATGTTCACAGACATGGATGCGTGTTGTTTTTCCAGTACAACAAACTGGCTAAGCTACACACACAGGCACACACTTACACACAATGACTTATCTATAGGCACCATTGCAGACCCCCAACCCCATGACTCCATCCAACCTAAACACACTCTGCTATATGGCGACCGCGTAAACCAAGTGTATCGACTGGTGCGTCACCCGAGAAGCGGTAAAAGACTTTCATGAACGCTGGTGGTGGAGAATCAATATTGTTTGTCGTCTCCATTGGAATAGCAGTCACAACAGACACAACAGCTGCACAGGATTCATGTTTACACAGCTTTCCTACAGTCATCTGTAATTACACGTCAAACCTGAAAAAAAAAAACCTGAAATGTGACCACAAGATAAACTCAGTGACAAAATCCGTATTGTGTTGTTTAACATGGGAATTGCGTTGGCTTGACAACACAACGATAAAAAGCCTAGGCATCAGTAGCATGTAGCCTCTTTTATGAATATTTAAATTTCCCTGCTTATCTGATTGTGAGGTAAGACACACCAAAGCATTTGGAAATATCTCTTCTCTTGTGCCGGCTTTTACAATTAAAAAACATAGAAGAAATACAGAAGAAATATGAGGTTAAAGTGCTGACTTTTAACTCCGTTTGAGGCTGTTTTTAACAAATCAAATTTTATTTATATAGCACATTTAAAAGCGATTTTTGGTCGAGCCAAAGTGCTGTACATGTAAGAAAAACACATTACTACAATCACAATAAAACACAATAATTTAATTTAACAGAAATATAAAAAACAAAAACACAGGGAAAAGTCAGGTGTCATGCTCCGCTCTGACTAGAAGGCCAGGGAGAAGAAGTGAGTCTTTAGGTTTAAAAACCCCTAGTGTCTGGGCCGACCTCACATGGAGGGGCAGAGTGTTCCAGAGCCTAGGGCCAGCTGCTGCGAAGGCTCGGTGCCCTCGGGTTTTGAGCCTGGTCTTGGGCACTACCAGCAGCAGCTGGTCAGCAGACCTTAAAGCTCTGGCTGGGGTGTAGCGCTGGAGGAGTTCAGCTATATAGGCCGGAGCCAGCCCATTTAGGGCTTTGAAAACAAATAAAAGGATTTTAAAATCAATTCTGAACCGAATTGGAAGCCAGTGCAGTGAGGCCAGAATAGGGGTGATGTGGTCACGCTTTTTGTGGCCAGTCAGAAGACGTGCAGCTGCGTTTTGGACTAGCTGCAGGCGTTTAATTGATCCAGACTGGGTGAACTGTATGTGTTGAATTATAACACCTTTAGCCATGCTAGCTTTGCTGTTTGTTTAAGATAAGCGTTTGAACTTTAACGACGCCACTGTCGCCCATAATATGGATAGGAACCCTCAAACTCTTAAAGCTTGTGGTCTCTAATATGACATCTTGTCATTTGATATCGAATTATGGAATTAGAGCCAAAAGAAGAAATTGTGTCCCAGTCAGACACCTGAAGACCAAAGTGTTATAGTCTTTGACCACAAATGAAAAGTTGAGCCTTTTACTTGTTTTCGTTCACACAATTAACAAGCACTAGAACTTAAATGGTTATATGAGTCTCTACCAGGCACAGGGCCTTTGTAATAATTCTAAGTAGCCTCACTACATAGTGCACTTGTTTCCCGCTTGTCGACTGCCAGTCACTACAGCAGACCCAGGGCAATACCTTTTAAGTACTTACGCTCTTTTCTTTGGCATCTCTGTAGTCTGTACACCATCACCCCCAATATATGGATATTAGCCAGCCTTGGCAAATAGCCTATAAACACGAGCAGTTTGAATATCCACGAAGCCAGCAGGCAGCTTGTAACTGTATTAAAATACACTCTCTTTACTTCCCTTAAGTGTAAAGATGGTAGGCAGAGAATAAGCCAGGGATATTTAACATAGTCACAATAGCTTGAGAAATCTCCTCCACTGACAAGTGGCCATGGTATGTAGAGACTTTAATATGCCAGCCATTCAGAATATGTGACAGGGACAAGTGTGGAGGAGCAAAAGTGTAACCTCAGAGATTTAGACTTGTGATCAAGCGTATTAAAGTTGTACACACACAAACACCCAGAGTACGCCATGACAATTTGCAGTGATAGGATTACATTTGTACACACCCTTCCCTGAAACACAGAGGGACTACAACTGCTTTGTAGACGCTGAATAAACATCGAACAGCTTGTTGACCTCGGGATAATCTGTACGACAGAACAGGGCTCATGAAACACCTGCGTTAATTCTAGTGATGGAAAATATGTATGTAAATTGTAGCAGCCGACAGATGCTATTTGCCATATGGAATATTTGTCAGAGAGCTGCAGGGGCAAGCATAGGTTAACAGCAGTGTCAGTTAGCTATTAGGCTATATCAATAGCACCTGAGAGTGAAATATCATGACTCTTAAAGGAAGCAATAACACATTAAACCTGATGATGCTGTCTCATTGATCTTTATGTAATGCCCTCAACAGGGATGACTACTTAATGTACAATCAAAATAAAGTACCCATGTCTAATCAACTTTATTACCACAAGTGTTGGCATAGCAACACATATGGAAGTTATCAGCCAAGGTATCTGCAACCAATCAGAGGTAAACAACGCACTTTATCAAGGTTTATAAGATCCAGCCTTTAGGGCATATCATTACTACATAGAGCAATGATACAAGGCCTTGTGTTGTAAACAGTACAACAGCAGTGTTTTCTAACACAGGCTATAAATATAATGATAAATAATAAATAATAAATACAGTTTATTTACAGATCTCAGGTTTGCTCTGTCCCCTCTCTGCAGAAGCAACCAGTCTCTGCACCAGCTTGAGAAATGCGCCTGTTACAAAGCCTGCAACGGTTCTAAAAATATTACACTCTGATATGAAAATGAAAAGCGTCAGAGTCCGCATCTGCCTCTGGTTCACAAAGCTGCATCTCAAAAAGGTAAGCCATGGCAAAGGTACTTGTCCAATAGCCTCATTTCAGGGCAAAAATAGAAATGGGCTCTCATTGCCACTGTGAAAGTATTTAGCAAATCTCTAGAGGAAAACAGTTTCTGTTCAAATATGTGAAAGAGCAAACACAGGACATGTTCTGGTGGTCTGTTAGGCCTCCATACATTGTGTGTGCTGCTCTACTGTATATCTGAGTGGGAGTTTTAGAGAGGGGCTTAGCTCTATATGTGCACATGTTGTGTTCAAGGACCTAGAAACCCCTTAAGCAGCTTGTTCTAAACTAAGCACTTGCAAATGGAAGTGCACAGCAGCACACAATATCAAAGATTAGCCTTGAATCAGAATCGCTGACTCAAAGGAGTTGTCCTGCGTCTTTCAAGGTCTGTCAAGGAGTGATGAGCAGTCATAATAAGAGTGCTGCTCACTTTATAGTCGACTACACTGTTTGTGTTATAACAAATTAATCTTCCTGCTGACTGAAGTGAAGATAACATTGCTGAATAATTGGATAACACACTAGGTAGTCACTGACAAAGACTAATCGACATACTGCAAGAGAGACCTCCCTCTTTCTTTGCTACACCAGAGACAATAATAGAACATGTTCAACCCTGACAACTCTTGAAACTTAAAAAGGCTTTGAGAGGATGCTGGTTGAAGTCAATCACAACAACACGATTATTTATAGTGAATTAACCCTTCTGGAGATCCACCCTGCGAATGCTCACATTGTTGGGGTCCTTTTGGCAATAATGACCAGGGTGATGGACATTATGCGTACCTGTTGTATGGCTCTGTGAATCAAAATGTCTAGGTTTTACAGACCCAAATCACATGCGCTTGAGGTTTTCTACCAATGAAGAAAGCACTAAGACCTCGGAGCTTGAGAGTGTCACACTTGTAGAAAAAGACCACAAAGTGTGCCAAGCATTGGTATTTCTTAGTAATGTCTATCAAAGAAATTTACCAAAATACCGGACATTGAATTATGCATAGAAAAGCTCAGAAATTAGACATGTGAATACATTAAATACACAAGCGAGAGGATGTAGTCCTAATTATGAATGTGGGGCATTTTACTACAAAAGCAGTTCAAGGAGCCTAGAATCTGTTAATGGTCAAGAATGATTAAGAAAGAGAGCCTAATAGTAGGGCTGCTCGATTATGGCAAAAATCATAATCACGATTATTTTTGTCAATAATTGATATCACGATTATTAAATACGATTATTCATTGACTTTGAAAACATCCATTTATTGAACTTTAAAACAAATAATAATTTGAACAGTATCATTTTAACTGTTGATTACCCTGAACGTATAATTCAACTGAAAAACCAATACAAAAATAAATAAATAAGATCAACAAATATTTTGGAGCGCACTTCCACAAGCTACTAAACATATATAAATATGACTAAAATGAATTAGATCAAATTATGTTCTAGTGCACTGTCACAACCTAGCAAAGCTAAATAATCGTTTTTTCCGATTATGTTGTTTTCGTAATTGTGGCAGGTCAAAATCGTAATTGCGATTAAAATACGATTAATTGCACAGCCCTACCTAACAGTAACTGTATAAAAAAAAGCTGATGTTGAAAGAAGTTTTTGATACTTCCTCTCTTACAGTATGTTTTTTTAGAAAAGAATGATGGCTGTAAATATAATCATTATCATTCCGTTTGAAATTGTTGCATAACCAAATAAAAGTACAGTAAAGCACATTTAAATAGTTTATTAACAAACCAACAGCAACCACTACAAAAAATGGTACAGGAAATACTCAAGCTTTGTGTACTTCTAATATGAATATTCTGACCAAGGCAATCACATTTTATCAGCATTTTCATCATTTAAATACATTATTTACGGTCATGACAATTGGTTAAGACGAGTGAAAAAGATACCAAAAATGATTGATTTGTAATTTTTGTCCTTCGGAAAAATTCCATTGCGAATTGTTGAAAATATGAATGTCCTCCAATCTGTATCCTTCATAAGAGCACACTTAATCGGGAAATGTTCCACAATTGCTCAATTGACTTTACTTTTGATAATAAAGAAAATGTCCTTTTCTGAAGGTAGTACTAAAAAGGATGAAAAGTGGTCATATCACACCAGTGTTTCACACACCTCTTTACAAAGACAGCAGATATAGAATGCCATTTGAAAAGACTTCAAAAAAGGTTGCAGCATTATGAATCAATGCCATGCAGTGTCAAATAAAGCATTCAGATATAAAAGGCAAGATTTCTCACATTGTGTTAGACAGAAAAATCCTCCTTCTGATACTTCTCACTAGAGGAACCATGAGGTGGTTTGAGCACCCACTGAGATTGCACCTCGAGCACCCTTGACTGAAATGAGGTTGTGGGTTTCATAATGCGCTGTTGCTGAACATGCTGAGATGCTTGTGCTGCCGTTTGATTCTGATCAGCTGACACCAAACATTGGGGTTTTCCGAAACATCAACACGCTATTTCCTGTTGTGTTGTCGCATGAGTTCAACTTTTTTTTTCTGCACCCACAGGAAGTATCTCAATGCCATGTCAGGTATGTGTTGGTGATGTTGTTTTACAGAGAAAACTAAATAATGCAGACACAGTATGCTCGGTCAGCCTTGATTTCTCCAAAATATGATCATCACAAGAGAGAATAACATTGATGAAGGGCCCACTCATGTCGACACAGGCGTGGAGATCTCCATTAAGCACATCCCCAAGGATTACAATTCACTTTCCAACCATATCACTGCCCCAGCCCTTCAATCAAGTGGCTACACACAACAACCAAGTGGTGGAACCTTTCCAGCGTTTGACATGTAGAACCGCCATCATGTATTGAATTAATGATGGTCAGAAAACAAGCAATGACTCTTTTTCACCGATTTACAGATTAAAGAGGGGCATTTTTGCTTGATTGACAGATGTCTTAGCCTATCACAGTTGGTTGTGATGGTTGTTATGCGTTCATAATGCTTTAGCTCAAGGCACTTTGGGGATTTGGTGGCTTCATCAATAGTATAATCAGTGCAAACCATTAAAAGACTTCAAAATGCCCTTGGAGAAAAGACGGGATGTCTTTTTTTCTTTACCCAATGGCTAAATAATCCATTTCACTTTCACACTAATTTGTCTTGCAAGACGTTCATTCAAAGTTCATTCTAATTAAGTCCAGAACCAATTCTGCCATAAATCAATTTCTATAGCATAATATACTATATTTTGCCCAAAGTATTAAGGATTAGCTTTCTGGTGCCATCTCTTTCAAATCAAGCAACACATATATATGTAGTGGAACAGCAACATGTAGCTTAGTACTTCAGGCTGAAGGGTTAACAAAAAACTGAATGGGAAATCACTATCCAACTTAAAGCATTCTTTCACTGTCAGTTGAAGATGCATCCTCCATGCTCCACTCATTTTTATCACCACATCTCAGCAGCTTGAATATAATAAAGTCTTGATACTCTATTATAGACTTGTGTATGGAGGGTGACTCAGCAGCATGCACAGTACACAGTGAGTACAGCACAAACAATTGACATGTTGCTGTTTTCAGGACCTATTTAACCAACATAACCCAGAGATTGTCGTCTGATCTCATCTCCGCTCACATGAGTAATGCTTCGAGCTCAAGTTCTTACATTGACAACAGTGACAGAGTGCGCACATTCAGTCAGGGAACAGATAATACCCCTGGAAGAAGTGGATTGAAACACACAAGCTGCCTTTTCACCATTTACTGTGGTTGGATCGAATGTGACAAATCTGTGTTGAGTTAAAGGTTTCCTTTAGTCTTCCACAACAATAGTTGAAAAGGTAGCTACATATGAATGGGTTATTTTAAGCATTCTGCACCATTATCATGACAATCATTGCCTACTTTACAGATAATGGTGATGGTTCCTCCAAGGCATTATGTCCACATCCAGTCTTTGCAAAATCCAACGTGTGACACTGCAACATATGCTTCAGTGCCTGTAAATCAGTCCCTGTGTACAGTTATTTTAGCAGACACAATCCATGCCATGCAAGCATGATGCTGCCAGGAACTTACTGGGCATTGGTTGAGTCCATACTGTACTCCTCTTGATACCTGGACGTAGCACACATGAACACAGATAGGCAAAGGTTAGGAGAGAGTGGGGTTGAGAAAGCAGGAAAAGGAAGGAAAGAGCAATGAAAGGATGCCACTGCGATTTATTTGCATTCACTTGCATTTTGAGTCAGAATGCAACCATTTGTATGACCTTGTGGAAGAATCCAACTTGGCCTGTGCAGCAAGAAGGAGCAAGATTTGATCCGATGTAAGCAAGTTGATATCAGATCAGATCTTGTATTTCAGCAGCTGCCTTGTTACTGCACAGTTAAAGCCTACTGTCAGGACTTTTCCACCAAGGTTCATTAAGTCACCTTCACACTCCACACGTAAGCACATATAATTATCTACAGTGGGAATTGCATCTGAGCTCAAAGGGAAATACACAATGTATTTCTGAGCTTGTAATTCACAGGGTGCATGCAAGACAAACACTTTTTTGAACACAATTAAAAAACAGTGCTTAAGCTGACTGAAGAACAGATGAGCACTTAATGCAAACCACAGGAGATCAGTGGACACACCCAAAGAGTCCATCTCATTGGTTGAGATGACCATGGAGAAAAGGGAAGGCTGTAACACTGAGGGAACAGAGAGACATACCCTCATATTGATTTTAACGACCAACACATGGACAATTCGGATGGACAAGGGGTCAAAGGTTAAACACACAATTTGATTTGATGATGAACATATTGACCTGAACGCTTTATATGGTCAGGCCTTTGTCTGGAAACGCATTCCCTAATCTTAACCAGAGTTGTAGTATTTCATGCATGTAGATTTGTGCACATTTCTTTCAAATGTTCAAAATTGCGAGTATAATGTAAGGAAATGTAAAGAACACATTTTATAAGATGTACAAGATAAACAGACAACAACGTTTCTTTGTTTTGTTCACCAGAGAATATTTTATCTCTAAGTATGCATAGTTTAAATGCTTGTCCTGATACAGAAAAGGTTATTGATGTTTACTTTAGAACACTATTTGTAATAGCTTATTAGTATGCAAACATTACACAAAAATGAAATGTTTTTCATTCATTTCAAAAGTACAATATATAAGTCAGAAAATTGTTCAAACTGGGTTTTACTGTATAATTAGTAGTTATCAAGTTTAGGTCTGCCATAACAAAGAATTGGCAAACCATCCAGTCAGATTCTGGTATATCTAATGATTGAAATGTAAATTCAACTATTGATCTATTTTGATCAGACAATCCTGGGTTGGTAAACATTTTGAGCAAGACCATACAGTACAGTAAAAATAAAATGTACTTTACTCCCAAATACACAAGTATTGCATATACTTTTGATTCCATTCATAAACTATTTCTGTGGAATACAACTGAAAGACGTAACTGGGTACATTGAGCCCCTTAACTTTGCATGTAACCTGTAGTGATATCTCACAAAGCTTTGAAACACTATACACTCTTTTATTACTTAATTAAGATTGTATTATGTCTGTTTTTTGTACTGTTCTGTCAATCCAGATATGTGTTAGTACAGTATAATGTAAGTCTAGTGAGTAAAATGCTTCAAGGAGCAGTCCATAGCATGTCTAAAAATATCAATTTCAGCAGATAGTTGATGTATAAATATATCATTTAAGTTGATAACCCTTTGAAGCGTGTCAATAATCAAAGCCTATCTGCTGGGGAGTAAAGAAGGAAAGCTGAATGTGTCTTGTAAAAAGGTTAATATTTGGCAGTCCAGGCTGTCTAGTTTTATGTTTTTCCACCAAATAAATAACATCATTTACATTACATAACATTTAGCTGACGCTTTTATCCAAAGCCACTTACAATAAGTGCATAATCCATAAAGAATCAAACTCAGAACAACAAGGAAAGTGCAGATTCACTTCAAGCATGATCATACTATAGTTAGTTCTGGTGAATCATAATCCCATTTGCACCTTTCTATAATTAACGGGGTGTTCCTAAAGGCCAGAAAGTAGTTGGTCACAAGGGGGGACCTGTCCCATTCCAGGAAAAAAAAAAGTTTATTGCCGTCTCAACAATAAAGCAGCCAATTATTACGGTCCCAAGAAACCAATTCGATTGTCTTCTTCTAATGGCTTTTATTCAAATTTTGAAAACATATTAATGTCCACAATGTTCATTCAGCGGTCGCTTTCTTGTAACTCTACCATAAAAGTTGAAACGATTTAAACAAGAATGCCATATTTTAGGAAAACAACCATTATTGCCTGAAGTTTGTAATTCACGAGAGGAGTTAGTCTGTAGGTAATCTTGAATGAATCGAAAAATGATATTGTATGAAAGAGTACCAAATCTTATCTTAGACCTGTAGGGCATTTAAGAAAAATAAACTTAATGAAAGTTAAGAAAATATGAATTGCTGTGAATTTATTTTGGAAATGTTCTGATAACAGCAAAGCTCAACTGTACCGAAGGACATGCAACAGACTGAGACATCCCTTATTCTTCAGGTACTTCACAGGTTAAACTCACTGTACACAGGATGACTCTGCTACTGTGATTCACTATGTGCCTACTGTCCCTTCGGAAATGTAGTCCAGAATCAGGGCGATTTAGAAAGGATAAGTCCGCTCATTACGGAAACTGTATAAGAACAATATCCACCCCCTCTAATGTGATCTCTGTCCATGTGGTTGCTATTTGACAACACTTTGAGGAGCAATAAAGATGCAATCTGGCTGCTGAGAGCTTTAGCTCAGATAAACAGAGGCTCACTTTGCCTCCATTAGCTCTCAACACACATACATATTACACATTCCTCCTCCGTTTCTTCATCATGAACCAAATACATTTTAAAAAGGCAAACATTCATGCAGTTAGCATCGTAGCATGATGCCCTTCACATCTTATTCTATATATGATAAAATACACCAAACAAGGAAGTGCATAGATCCTCACCCTCTCTGCAGCAGATCTGGACTCACATGTACGGAGCTGGGCTGAGACAACAAGTGCAAAACGAGCAGCACTTCCAAAAATATGCATTCAATTACGTTCACTCAGAGCTGCCTCAAGGACTGACGGATATACAGTGGGAGGGCTTCACACACATACACCATCTCTGCAGTAGTTCCAAGGGCAAATGGGATTTGTAGTTTTCACCATGTTTACCTGCATCAGGAAGCTTGCCAACATTTTCTCACCTACTACAGCTCCCATTCATTTGTCACATGCCACAGAGGCAGATCAAGTACCTCCAAAGGTATGACTAGTCAGTTTTAGTAACTTAAGACCTGGTTAAGAAGGAAATCTGTCACATACAACAAGAACGAGACCAAACACAGAACAACAAGATCCTGCCCTGTAGTAATTATTATGGGTATAATATATATTTGTTAAAGGGGACCTATTATGCAAAATCCACTTTTTCATGTCTTTTATACATAAACATTAGGGGTGTAACGGTATTCGTCCCGAACCGTCACGCTGTGTGGTAACATTTCGGGTTCCCTGTGGACTACAATAATGATGGAGTGCGAGTGGTGGATCGGACGAGGACGGTGTGTCGGCGTTGTTCGATAGCGGTGCGGTATGCTAATGGTAACACACGCCAAACATGCTAAATCATATCAGAAGGCATCAGCCAGATTTTCCAATCACCGGAGCTCGGCAAAAGACAACAGCAGTTCAACAGCTTATCCCCGCTGTTTTTAAGAAGCCCATAGACATGAAAGCTGAGAGACCAAAAGAAATAACGGAAGCTATTGGCAAATATATTTCAACGGCTATGCGCCCTTGAAACACTTTCTTATTATTTATTTTTGTAATATTTTCAAGACATTCTTTTTAGTTTTACAGCTTGATTAACCTTTTTGTTTGACATCAGCCATTATAGATAATATGGCCATCTGAGTGTGTGTGGTACTGTTTGTGGTTTGTTTTTAACTGTGTAATACAGTTAATTATTCAAAATGTTAGAGTTCCTTATTTTTAAACTGAAACTTGCACTACTGTTCAAAAATAAATAACAACAAACCTGGAATTATGCATTTGGGACTTTTCTTTTCTTTTTCTTGTTGTACCGAACCCGTACCGAACCGTGACCCCAAACCGAGGTACGTACCAAACCGTGAATTCTGTGAACCGTTACACCCCTAATAAACATGTGTCCCCTCTGTGTAAAGAGATTTTGAAAGTTTCGGGAAAAAAGACCCCCTCTCTTTTTGTCCTGATCCATTCTATATAAAAACCTGTCTGAAAATGAGCAGATTAGATTTTGGCCACTTTATGATGTCCTAACGATTTTTTGGCTTGTGTAACCATTAGCCAATAACCAACCAAGGTAACACCCCCACACCTTATCACCTGAATCTCCTCCTAGAGCACCATTGTGTTCTTTTTAACCAAATATCTCTCAGAGGGGCGTGGGGAGGGGCTCCTTATTTTCATCTAAAAGTAACAGACAGAGAATCAGCACTTTTGAAACAGAGCTGAAACAGAGGGGATTATGTGATGCATGATCTGTTTGGTGTTTCAGACAATCAGAGACATGTTTTGTATATATCTGAGAGCTATAATATATTGATGAAAAACTGTATAATAGGGGACCTTTAAAGTAATGTTATTCATAAAAAGCCTTTGGACAAAAACATATTTTAAAACCTGACAGAATCTAGCTTTGACAAACTGTTAAAAGCTTATAACAGAAAACCTCACACTAGTAGGTCAGATCAACAGCTGAACCTTGTTTCCAGGTAGCCCATATTACACTGCAGGTAACCATAGCAACAGTATCTCATACCTCTGTGCAACATTACCAGCTGTGACTCTTAAAAATGACCTGAACAGGTGTGTAAATTACTACGAGCAAGTCATTAAAAGATTAAGGATTGGATTTTAATGGCCATTTTAGTGTCGTAGAATTAAAAAAATTCAGTTTCAGCAACATCCGTTACTTTCATATATCAGGACACTTAATCATGTATTTTAGCTAACTTATAGCAAACAAGTTCTGAATGAAAAATGATGGTATTTATCAAAGTTTTAGAT